ATGCGTCAACTCTTTGCTCAACGCTTCCATACCAAGCAAATTCTGGCAGATGGAAGGACAAAAAACTTCAAAGGACATGTCTGACCCGAATCTTCTCAAACATCGGACCTCTGTGGTCTGTAAAGGACTGATCAATAAGGACAAGCTTGACCCTGACAAGCCGGCGGATCGAGAGACCATAGAGAGAGAAGAACACCACCGAAAGGAGACTCTCTCGTCGCCGTTCGGTAAGAATATTGCAGTTGGAAGCACTTTATTAAATCGATATCACAGAAACATCTCAACGTCTAGATGTTGTCAGCAAAGATCAGGGGCTAAAGAATTTGCTGCTCTTGTTGATATGAGCACACCTGGAATGCAGAGTGACGAGGAGTCTGACGCCGAGGGTGACTGACAATCAAAATTGGGGTGGCGCAGTGTGAACTTCACACATTTACTCCATTTTCTAGATGTACTACGAGTGTCCAGTAACCTGTGACTACTTGCTCAAACCGCGGAGAAAGGCAGCAAAACTGGAAGAATCCGAACAGACCTGCCAAGCGAGCGCAATAAGGCACCAACAGGACTCCCAGTTGAATGCTAGGCGCATTCTGGACCAGTCAAGGCCGATGGGTTGGAGCATGTACTCCGTGCAGTCCCAAGAAACAACATTGGGGGATCTTCCATCTATGAAATATTATGACCAACGAGTCAGAGTTTCCAGGAATAGTGCGCTGGAGGTGGCATGGAAGAAGCACAAGGCGGAATGTAGCGACTGTCGAACTGATGATAGTGGAACAAGTTCGTAAACAAAGCGTGGATATCAAAAAAATGTCGTTATCTATGAAGAAACCCTTTGTTTGAAAACTAAAGCAAGGTATAACTTACAAGAGAGCGTAAATGCATAAGACAGAGACGCGACGAAATGCGAAAGAAGGATGGATGAGTAATTCTCATAAACTATGAGACCTGTCAGGTGTTTGAGCTTGAGGTCGAGAGTGTTCACTGCAAGAACCGAGCGAATCTGTACAGGCGTCGTCGTAATGGGGAGCATTGGCCTCTATTCGACAACAGGGTAGGACTTACGAGGTATATGCCTCCCAATTGACGTCAAGTTCTGAGAAAACAATCAATTTGAGTCTCGCTGAGCATGATTCACACACCATGAACGTGCGCGGCGTCTAATCTCAATTATTTGATGCCCTATATCTCCTCTCTTCAATTATAGGCGCCGTTGACCAGTCTAGCGTTCCATGATGGGCGTGTTTGCTTCAGAAGAAGGTTGGGAATGGACTACAAGGCTAATACAGTGACTATTGAGAGGACATTTAGGCTTGAAACGATTGAGGGATGAGCACCTACATGACTATCTGCGCGGGCGGGCAGACAAACCCTCGCCCATCCAGTGTATAGTCACCGGGAGGTCGACTATGTGGCCGTGAAAGGCCTAAGCATAGTATCTATTAACCATAAACCTCTTAATCAGGCCGAATACTTGCAGAATCGGACCAGCAACATTAGTTCGCTGTTATTGGTGCACTACCGGGCTATTCGTGGCTCCTGTTCTCCTCAAACGGTATTCGTGAGCTCATTTACCTCGTATTGATCCCTTCGTACTCAAAGGCCATCGGTTCTACCACGTCCAATCGCGTAAGCAGTGCGTTTGTGCTCGAGGTTCAGAGCACATGTCTTGAGGCATTTTTTAAAGCTTCTTCCCGCATTCGTGTACCATATTTTGCAGTAAAGGCAGAGCTACTGCCAAGCTGCACGGCGCTCATAGTGGCGGAGCCAAGTTATCGAATCACAGCATCCGTTTGTGCGACGCTTTGGGCGCACTTTGCTAGTTGTGGAAACGCTACAGACACCAGAAAGACACATATATAGAGCACTATATTCACAATTCCTCATTTTCTTAGAGCTACGACAATTTGCCGCTCACAAGGTCTCTCTGGAACGGGTCTCATTAGGTGCCTTACAAGGCAATTGCCTTGCAAAGCACTTTCTAGTTTTCCGACAGGAGCTTCCACCTCTGCCTCAAAGACCGCATGACTATTGACGAGCTGTAGTGCGACACCACTGACTCGGCAGCAGGCCTCGATAATATTGCTATCCGGTTAGCCCGCGGGGCAGAGGTATAAGCCCTGTTGAACCAAATAGTATATAAATACATGGGTGACTTGTCTCTTCATATTTGTGATTTAGTTCAAATAACCCGAGTCGCGCTCTCAAGGCCGCTCCACAGTTTGGCTTCTTAAGTCTAATGACGTCGGTGTGCCACTAGTCTATCGATGGTCATCCTTTGTACGACGTTTACAGGCTGAACAGGGAGATAGTGAGCGTGAGCTGCATAACGGCATAAGGAAAAGTCTAGAAAGACTCTGAGTGGTAAATGTAAGATACATAGGATAACTCGCCTTGTACAAGGCGGCTGAAAGACTTGAACCCACAGAAGCGACAAAGTATCCTGACAAAGGCAACTCGAGAGTTCTATAGGACGCGGCGTATAGCCATGCATGCGACAAGTAAGTAATTAGAATCAGAGAAGTCCAATTGGTATCCTCGGCAAGAAACGCAATGCCGTCCGAGCCTACAAAGCATCCGTGGAGCGACTATTGCCTTGTTCGGGAAATAGGACGGAATATACATTGGAGAAGAGATCAGGGACTGGCTAGGAAGAGTTGCAAGAAGAGAAGTCAACGTCATCGTAGTCAGTCAGAAGCCGGTTCAACTCAGTGGAGTCGTTAGCGTTAAGCTCCATAGATACCATTACCTAAAAACAGCGTACGGATAAGCCTCTATATTAGGTATTCTGACAATATGCAGGAAGTCAACGACATTGGCGGATGGCAGAGTCAATATTTGTCTAAGAGAATCACCCGCCCGCCGTGGGTGGAGGTTGGAATGCGGGCCAATCAGGATCTGCGTGTACGTAAAACGGCCCCAACATACCTTTAGTGGCTTACATATTCCAGTAAACAACATGACGTCGTGGGCGGTAGCTCATCCCGAGGTGGTATTTGTGTCTTTCAACTACCGGCTCAACATTTACGGCTATGCAAACTCTCCCGCCATTTCCAAAGCGGATACGAATGCCGGCCTTCGAGACCAACGCACGGCTGTGGAATGGGTCGTCGCGAACATCATAGCGTTTGGAGGAGACCCGACTCAGATCACGCTTGGAGGTCAATCCGCCGGTTCGGGTAGTATTGGAACGTACATCTACGCATATGCGTCACGTCCTCTCATTAGAGGCGCTATTCTCATGAGCGGCCAGGCAGCAACGACGCTCACCCCTCCTCCCATCCCGATTCCTGGCGTCCCCGCCGCTGGCTCCAATCCGTTCCCAGACGTTGCAATCGCACTCGGATGTCCTCTTCAAGGAGACAAATACAAAGCACAACTCGACTGTGTCCGTACAAAGAGTGCGGAGCAGCTCATGGACGCACTCAACTTTACCAACACGCTCGGCGTCTCTCCATTTGTCGATAATACGACGGTGTTCACAAAGGCCGAGTACAAATCTAGGGGGCGTGCAGGAAACTTTGCGCGAATCGTGAGTGCTCGCGAGACAGATGGGGTGTAACCATTGATCCTTTATTAGCCATTGCTGACAGGCACCACTGATAAAGAAGGTGACATCTTTGTCTTGGACAGGACAACAAACACCCTCAACGAAACTCTTTCGGATCTATTGACGTTGTCCGTCTTTAGGTGCTATGATAGCCAGCAATCCAAGTACAATCTTTGACACCTCGGATGGGCACTGCTAACATGCATATCCAGGTACTCGTCGTCACTGACCTCGGTCTATCGATATAGATACATGGCCATCTTCCCTGCCCTATCTCCACCGCCTCTTCGCGCCTGGCATACGTCGGATCAGATCGTTCTCTTTGATGTCTTTCCAGGTCTCGCTCCAGCAGCGACCCAATATCTACAAAAGGCTTGGACCGCATTCATTGTCAACCCCAGCAACGGCCTGCTGTCACTTGGCTGGAAGAAGTATCAAGGCCCTGGAAGTAATACCCTCGTCGACGTATTAAAGAACAGCACCGATTTACAGCACCCAATCGACCTGGAAGATCCGACGTCTTTCGACTCTGGATGTGCGGCATTAGGCCTTGGATTATAGCGTGTGATGCAACGGAATTCTCATTCCTTCTTCGTCTCTTAATCAGATGCTTTTGTGGATTTATATGCATACTCCCGGAGGGGCTGACTTTAAACTTGCGCTCTCGGAATCGTCCGCAAAACTGGCCGATTCCAGATTCCTGCACTCTAGGGCGATATTTTTGTAATGTTTTCCTACTACGAACTGCGGACTGGCCGGGTTGGACAGGTGAAGAGTGGATTCTACTACTCGCACTGCTACACGAGCCTTCGTTTTGCGTAAAGCTCTTCTTCGTAATATATTTCCTCTTCGAAGATGTCGTACACTATTTCGACGTATCAATAGTGGTCAATTTCAAACTCTTCGTAGCACAACCTCTCCAACGTAACTGCGAAAATGTCGGTAAGACATTCGGGACTGTCAAAAAAGGACTCAATTCACGTGAATAATGGCTCAAACTCGTCAGCACATAGCGAAATGGTTTACCCTGTCCTGGCGACGCTATGAATGGTGCATTATATCGGATGAATCGAAGCATTGTTGATCCGTCGTGTTGTGAGTCTACAAGACACTTTTTTGGGTTGAAATTGACCCCTGTCGCAGCAGAGAACTGTGAGAAAAGCACTCCTGGACCGCGAGAAACGAAAGGGCTCAACAACCAGCGGCGTATAAAGGTCGCTGACAAAAATTTGTAAAGACTTCCTGCGCAACATGGCATCCACAGTTCTCCGGGTCGTTACTTTCTGGCTTACCCTCGCCGCAGCTGGCCTTGTCCGGGCGGCTGTACCAGTCGTTCAAACGTCTTCGGGCAAAGTACAGGGAAAGGCCGTCTCGAATAAGACCAATGCATATCTCGGCATCCCGTATGCTCAACCTCCAGTTGGACCTCTTCGTTTCCTGGCACCGAAACCGCTCTTCACCCCCTTCGCCGTGCGGAACGCGACCACATTTGGGTTTTCGTGCATTCAATTTGGGTCCAGCTCCCCTTCTGCAAGCGAAGACTGTCTCACGGTCAACGTCTGGGCCCCGTCGTCGCCCTCTCGAAAACTCAAACCAGTCTTCATTTGGGTTTATGGGGGAGGCTGGAACGTTGGGGAATCTTCATCTCCCTGTATGTAATCAAGTATAAACGTGCTATCTCTGAAATTTTCCAGACAATGACCTGACCTCGTGGTCAATCGCCCATCCCGAAATCGTCTTCGTCTCTCTCAACTATCGAGTCAACCTTTACGGGTATGCAAACTCACCCGCACTCTCAACTGCGGACACGAATGCCGGTCTTCGAGACCAACGGGCCGCTGTCGAATGGGTGTTTGCCAATATCGCGGCATTTGGCGGAGACCCTGCTCAGATCACGCTCGGAGGGCAATCTGCAGGTTCGGGTAGCATTGGAACATACCTCTACGCATATGCTTCACGACCGCTCATTCGAGGCGCTATCCTCATGAGTGGACAGGCAGCGACAACCATGACCCCTCCTCCCGTCCCGATTCCCGGTGTTCCAGCCGCGGGGGCTAATCCATTCCCCGATATTGCAACGGCCGTTGGGTGCCCTCTTCAGGGCGCAACTATAAAGCTCAACTTGACTGCGTCCGCACCAAAAGCGTGGCACAATTGACAGCTGCGCTGACCTCTACCAACACTCTTGGTGTCTCTCCCTTTGTCGACAACACCACCGTCTTCTCGGTTCCGGAATACAAGTCCAGAGGCCGTGCCGGAAAGTTTGCAAAAATTGTGAGTAAATCGCGACGAAGTTTTTGTGTGTGACGATTGACCTGCCGGTAGCCACTGCTGACTGGGACTACCGATAACGAAGGCGACATTTTTGTTTTGGATAGGGCGACCAACACGCTCAACGAGACTATCTCGGATCTATTGACCCTATCTGTCTTTAGATGCTATGACAGTCAGCAGTCCAAGTGAGTGTTGTGTGACTCCTGCAGTAGGATGCTGATATGAGTCCAGATACTCTTCGTCGTCTGTGCCCGTATATCGTTATCGTTACATGGCCATCTTCCCGGCGCTCTCTCCACCACCTCTTCGCGCCTGGCACACGTCGGACCAAATTGTTCTCTTCAATCCAACTCCAGGTGTTTCGGCAATGGCGACGGATTATCTGCGAAAGGCTTGGAGTACTTTCATCGTAGAACCCACCAATGGTCTTGTTTCTCTCGGCTGGAAGAAGTACCAAGGTCCTGGAAGCAAAACTCTTGTCGACATCTTCAAGAACAGCACCGACCTACAGCATCCGATTCAACTTGAGGACCCCACGAGTTTTGACTCGAGGTGCGCGGCGTTAGGCCTCGGGCTGTAGGTTATTATGATCCAATCAGATTTCGCTTCGTCCCCTCGTCCCCGTCACCTCGACGTTTAAACTCGGAGAAATTGACATCTACCACATGGGAATCTAGGTACTATCAGCACGAAAAACTGCATCCGCGTGTCATCGGATGGTTTAAACCTCGCCGGTTAGACTTGCGCCGACCGGCTCACCAACCTGGAACTCTTGGCGGCGTCTCGCAAAGGATGTCCAAGGAGTTTTTCCCTGACTTTTGAACACTCGCCTAACTGATGGCCGGCTCTCGGAGTTTTAAGGATGGTCACGGACGCCTTCCGACCAAGCCCACAGGAGTCTATAAAGGGTAAAGGCGAAGGCCAAACGACATCGTAAATATTCATGGCTCGATTCCTCATCGAATTATTTGCAGCATTCCTCTTTTTGGCCGCTGCTGGCCTTGCTCAACAGGTGCCAATCATCCAAACCACGGCAGGGAAGATTCAAGGAAAAGCAGTCTCGAATGCAACCAACGCATATCTCAACATTCCATATGCTCAACCACCCGTCGGACCGCTCCGTTTCCTTGGCCCTCGGCCTATCCTTACACCATTGACGCAACGCAACGGAACAGCGTTTGGCAACTCGTGCATCCAAATTGCGGCTCCGACCCCAATATATACAGTCGAGAGTGAGGATTGTCTTTACCTCAATGTATGGACGTCGCCATCTGCGACATCCAGACTTCGGCCAGTCTTTATATGGTTGTACGGTGGCGGCTGGAACTCTGGAACTGCCAGTGGATATTGTGCGTATCTGTTGCTTGGAATGCGGCTAATCTCTTTTTTTTTTCAGTCAACGACCTTACCAGCTGGGCAAAGGCACACCCTGAGATTGTGTTTGTATCGATAAACTACCGGCTCAACTTTTACGGCTATACAAACTCTCCCGCTCTCTCCTCTAGAGATACCAACGCTGGGCTCCGTGATCAGCGAGCAGCGGTCGAGTGGGTAGCGGCAAACATTAGAGCGTTTGGCGGGGACCCTACCCATATCGTCATCGGTGGTCAGTCTGCGGGAGCCGCCAGCGTAGCGGAGTACCTATATGCATATCCTCTGCTTCCTCTCATTCGTGGTGCTATCACTATGAGTGGCCAGGCAGCTCTTGCCAATGTCCCAGCGGCGGGCAATATTCCAGGCTTACCGAGTCAAGGCCCGAATCCATTCCCGAAGATAGCCTCCTCTGTCGGATGTCCGCTAATCCAAAACAACTATGCGGCTCAGCTCGACTGCGTGAGAACGAAGACCGTGGCCGAGATTACACAGGCCATCAGCGCCAACAATGTATACGGAATATCCCCTTTTGTCGACAATCAGACGTTGTACACGACTGCAGAGTACAAAGCTAGGGCAGGGGCTGGAAGATTTGCTCGCGTGGTGAGTATCGATCGGCTCTTCGTTTGCCTCCTGACAATCAATATATAGCCATTATTGACCGGAACGACGGAGAATGAAGCCGATCTCTTCGTCATCGATCGCACGACAAACACGCTGAATCAAACGCTCTCGGATTTGATTACTCTCGGTGCTTTCCGGTGCTTGGATGCGCAACAAGCAAGGTGACGATACACTACTATTAGTCTTGCAAATTCCTGAGCATTATCAGCTACTCTTCAAAAAAGGCTCCAACCTATCGTTATCGATATATGGGAGTCTTTCCAACCCTATCGCCATCCCCACTCCGCTCGTGGCATGCGTCTGATCAGGTAGTCCTTTTCAACGGTGCGCCATATCTCCCCTCAGTGGCTGTCGAGTACATGCAACAAGCTTGGAGTACATTTATCGTAGATCCCAACAATGGATTGCTGTCATTTGGTTGGCAAAAATATCAAGGATACGGTACAAAGACGTTGGTGGACATCTTTCGCAACAGTAATGATCTTTCCCATCCTATTCAGCTCGAGGATCCGACGTCGTTTGACGCCTCGTGTGGGGTACTCGGACAAGGGCTGTAGGATACCGACTTGAATGTATTGAATGAGTCTCATTTGTCTAAATTATTTAATCCTTTTCCCTTCATGAACTTCTCCTAACCGGAATGTAGTCTTTGCTGACAGTAAAAACTGTCACATTTGCCATCGATGATCGTTTTAATCTCGTACCGGAATTGGTCATCTCACGATCTCTTGAAGAGGGCTATAGGATGGAGACTTGTCAGAAACCTAAACCTACCCCTGGACGACTCGTTACTGGTCTGCTGCTGATACTCGCCCGCGAGCATTACTTCGGGAGGCAACCACATGACCGGTAAGCGAATCACCAACTTTAGAGTACCTGAGCCCCTTGCCGACCAAAGGATACCATCTGGGTATTGCGGATGCTTTTGTGGCCATTGCCCGTAATCAACGCTCTTGGTGAGAAGTTTGATGCCATTAGTCCGGTGGCTTACCTTTCCTTCATTCCCGGCACCTTGCATGGTTCTCCGCACTGCAACTGTTTCCGACGGCTTCACTTCCCCGCAAATGGCCACGGCGCCACCACGATTGCTACGGCATTGCTCCCGACTGTCCGATACTATCATTGAATCCCTGCTTCTCGATAAAAATAGAACTTATCACCCGCTCAGGCTATCGCTGAACCGAGCTGAAGAACCACCTGTTCACCTGTTCACGAGGCTTCACCTGACGATGCCTACCGTGTTTATCCATCCCTTTGTCCGGGAAACTTACAGCCCTTCTACCGGAGAAATTTCCACTGTGCTATAAAAGCCAGGTGCTCTCCCCATCGTGGCCACCAAGCCATCTCTTTGACTTCCGCAAGGTGTGACAAATCTATACCCCCGTCCATCATGTTCAAAAAGCAGATTATCGGTTGGTCGATCATATTCCCTTATAAAAGACTAATTGCGGCTCCAGGGATCCTGTTCCTTGCCCTCTCGGCATTGGGCGCTCCAGCTTCAGACCTTACTGCTCGTCAATCTTGTTCTTCATTGCAACTTGTCCACATTTCTGGAACCACTGAAGTAGGCCTTGGTACCGTCGGTACGCCATTGGCTGCCGCACTTGCAAGCGCTGTCCCAGGGTGCGCCTTGAAGGTTCTCCAGGATTTATGTTCTCACTTTATCTAATAGAACGACTACTCACTCGGTCACATATGATACCAGCGCCGAATATGTAGTAACGGTAGCTGCGGGTGCAGCCATCACGGCATCCTACATCACAGCTCAAAGTGCCCGCTGCCCTAATCAGCGTTTCGTTTTGAGCGGATATTCCAAGGGAGCTCTTGTAGTCCATAGTACGCATGGAAAAATCTCTTAGATGGTCGATATCTCACCGCTTTTAGGCACCACGCTTTCCAGCTCCCTCAAGGCCAAAGTTGTTGCTATCCTCGTCTTTGGTGACCCAGCGCGCAATATCAATCAGCCGTGGCCGATAAATTCTCCCTCGGTTGATCTTGCACCTCGCGACGGCAGCTCGAGCTCAGAATATTGCCAGTTTTTGCAATACGGGGGACGTCTTTTGCTGGCCTGGTGGAATTTCTCTTGCCGCGCATCTTGCCTACCCAACAGACGGAAGGTAGGGTGTTCAACTGGAAGAAAACAACGAAGCTAAATTGTCTTATAGCATTGGAGTCGCAGCCAACTTTGTCAAGGCCAGGGCCTAGATATCTGATGTTCAGCAGTGTCGTTGAATACCAATCTCGCTGGTTCCTAAAAACACATTTACTTCTGCGCGATTTTTCTGTATATTTTCTTCGTCGGAGCATGAACGTCGTTGAGGGGTAGCGATCCTCGTCAGGTCCATAACCGACATTCTGCCAAAGTAACCATGTTACGTCTCTCTGGTATATAGAGCGCAGCTAACATTCGACATTATGACTTGTACATATTGACAGAGCTCCGCGGAGATGCCGTGGGGACTTGTCCGTTCCATGTTGCGGCAAACAGGGTGTTGTCTTGACAGGCAGAGCCGAGTCCAGAGCTGATTTACGTCAGGGATGCAACATGAAGAATGTAGTGAGCACCTACTTTGTCAACCAAGTCGGTTCCCAATAGAAGACACCCTTTCCAAGCCCGTTCGGTAGCCCGCAAACAACTTGGGCAACCTTTTGCATCCATTGTGTCTGCCCACTAGCACTTGCTGGAATGCTGGGCTCCGACAGAGTGACACCAGAGCAAGACGCGGGCCAATCCGTCTCTGCGACAATGATCGGGCGACCATAACGGTTGGCCATATTGGTGAGTGTCGTCTTCAGTCTCGATAACGTAGCAGATGTATCTAGGTGCTTGTTAGATAGGCTATAAAGGTCCTGTCATGCCCCCACCGTAGAAGGGGTAGAAAGAAACGCCAATGTAGTCGACCTTGTCGAGCGTTAAAGCCCCTTGCACTTGTATATTGTCCCACCACCATTGCTGGAGGCTCCAGTCCCAGCCATTGTCGATATGGATCATAATCTTCGGTGGGCTGCTAGTATTTCCCGCGAGAGCCCCGCTCCGACCAGAGTTGAGAAGCTGAGAGAGCGAGTTCCAATTCGGTGTCTTTCCCGTCGGCCAAAGCAATCCTTGGCGAATCTCATTTCCGATCTGAATCATGTCGATGTTGACGCCCGCATTCTTGAACGCCGTCACGACGTCTTTGGTATATGTGTAAATCTTAGTGTTGAGTGAAGAGAGGTCACTAGGCCACCCCGATGGCAGAGTTTGATGCGCGGGATCGGCCCAGGTGTCTAATAGATGTGAGATCGAGGCATTGTTACGGAGAGAGCGCACCCGAGTAGTGCAAGTCGATGAGAACCTTCATTCCGGCGTTTTTGGCTCGCTTTGCCAGGGCAATCGCATAGTTGACTGAGTAGTCTCCTGCCGTCCAGATTCTCAATCGTGCATAGTTTGCACCTCCACTGGCGAGAATCGTAACAGCATCTGATTTTTGGCCAGATGCGTTGAGAAACGTCGGCGTTCGCTCTTTTTCCATCAATGCGAGCGACGATATGTCGTGACCTTTGAACGAGAGGCAACCTATGGGCATAATGTCAAATAACTGCATGCAAGGATGAATATTCGCACTCGTTGAGCCGCCAGAGCTGGCAGACCCTTGCGTGCTAGACGGGGCACTACTAGAGGAGCTTCGCGTTGTGGTTGCTCCTCCTCCACCGCTACCAGGAAGACATTGAGAGTACCATTCGTTTGAGTATTGGCACGTATATCCGGAGACACAGGTCTTTGGACCGCTATACCCAGATCCGCCTGCGATACGCGGTCAGCCATCTGTAAGACCATCGACTCGTATGAGTTACCGCATTGACCATAGGCGGGGGACTGTGCCGAAGCAGACAGCGCAACCGACAGAGTAATGACTGCGAGCGAGAGCGACCGCATTGCAATGCTCAAGAGGACGTCGTTAACGAACCATATGAGGCCCCTTTATGGATCCTTGGCCCCCTGGGCGATTGTAGGCGTGAGCCAATCGTTGAAAAGTCACGCCCGGTGCGACGCGTTTGCAATGTGCTGTGGCCGGCGTTCTGCCGAGTGCATTCGTGGAAACGAGTTGCGGAGATGTAGTTGACCCGCGAATTCAAAGTAACCACGTCCTGTATGTGCGGAGATGGACGAATCCAAAAGCCGGAGAAATTAGCGCGGGCCGAGGCAACATGGACTCCGTAGTTGATCCTCACCCATTCGCGTCAATACGTGTTCAAACAAACGATGCAACATCGTCACATGTCACCATACGCTAGCATCGATCCAGGAACAGCGACCCAGCGGCAAAGCAAGCGTCAATAAATTATAACAGGCGATTGGATTAGCTTCTTTGTTATGAAATTCGGATGTTATTGCTGAAATTTTGAGGCGAAAGTCGGGTTTGGGGCGCTCATACAGAGCCGGCCTAGATTGCTACCCCTCGTGAAGAAACTCACTCTGCGTCAGACCCAACACACGATGACCTATGGAATCAGTCTATAGTACAGATCTTCTTGTCCCAGAGATCATCCGTTACTGCTTGAATAGCGCTTGCTGTCTTCGAATCCTGAACGTCCACGACCCACTTGAGAGCTCTGCTCTGTTCCACGGGTTTTTACAACAGAAAATGTCCTTGAATCAGTATCTAGATAAGACTCACGTCCTGAGTGACTGCGAAATTGGGGACCCGCTTCGAGCTTTCTGTAGCATGTCTGTTGGATGGAGTGGACTAGCGGTCGTGGGTATCTTGTCCCCCGGAACAAGCCGTGGTGTTGGTTCTTCAGCTCGCTCCAGTCAAATCGACCACCCTCAAGGGTCCGCCGGCTCTCGATGACTGCCTAGCCCTGGTACCACCCCGAATCATCCACTGCAAAAATCCTGCGAATAACTTGCACTTCAGTTCCTCGTGCGTCTTCAGGCATCGAGACTTTACTCAGGGAAATGGTTCGATCCATAAACGGAAAATTCAACCCGTCAATCAGGCCGAAGCCTGGATCTGGGGGAGAAGTCCAACAGCCTAGGCGTCTTCTCAATGTACTTTTCACATAATCAAGTTATGTCAAATAAGATGTCGGCGCTAAGCAAATCCTTGAATCATAGCGCCTAGAAGCGAGAATGGGCATAGAAATATCACCTGACCTAATTTCGGTCTATCAAGAATTATGAAGCTGGCGCAGGCTTTTTGAAAAAGGGTACGCACCTTTTCAGCCGTCCATGCTAGCATCCAGCACAGACTAGGATATCGCATTTGTCGTGGTGGATTCATGTTGGGAGAGCAGCCCGTTTACTAATGAGATATAGACATTTCTGTATCGTATGACATCTCGGTATCACACCAGAGCAGCCGAGGCCACCATGGCGCTTTCAATCAGACTTGAGATGAATACAAAGCCAGTGATATTATGGGGTCGGTCTAGAAGTGAAGAATGTCAGAGGAGGGGAGGACGGTGATAGAGGAGATCTGGACCACGACAAGACTCACCAACGCCTATAAAAGACCGAGGGGACAAGTACATGTCTGCCCTGTGTCTCACCAGATACTCATAACCAGCGACATATTTTACAATGGCACTTGTCCCTATCGTCAATTCAGGCAAGTACAAGATTAAGAACGTCAAGTTTGGCGCCATCCGGGACGACGAGGGTTCCTTGGGGGCAAAAGGCAACTCCAAGTCCGAGGAACTTGTCGTAAGTTTCTATTGCATCTAAATGGGAAATTTTTCTCATTCATTTCCAGTGGACTGTCACTCTGAACCCCGACAACTCGCATACCCTTCATGCCATCTCCGCGAATGCACCCGCTATCGCTGGAGGGCCCGTCACCGAAGTTTCGAAGCGTTTCTATATCAGCCTCGAGAACCAATCTGCCCAGGGCGTTCATTGGTTCCTTCAGCCAGTTTTGATCGGCTCTGATCCCCGTATCCTCTATGCGTACGATAAATGCTATTTCGTGACTATCCCTCGCTTACATCTGTACCCATAGCATCTACGAACCCGGTAGGAGGGGCCACTGGGAACTGTGTAGCGCAGACAAGAAGGAGCCTGTAGGTTCATTTTCATCTACGCTGACATAATGACTAATCTAATTACAGGTGAAGCTCAACAGGGAGCCTCATGATGACGAGAACAAGCCTGTTCCGACACACTTTACTCCGGAGGCCCTCTGGGTCTTTGAGCATGTAATAGGCGACGAATAGGCTCGAATATAAAGTTTTATTTATTGCTATAACGTCTCATTGAGTTGACTGAAGCTGCTAGTACGATGATTCCTTTCTGCAAGCGTACATGTCACACGAATCGAGGGGTTCTGTGATTCAAAAGAGCTAGAGTGACTAATTTATCATACTTTCATCAACGGTTCAATGGCGGAGACGTCGAGGGAGCCGAAAGTCCGTTGGCGCCTTGGTCCGAGTAGTTAGGCATATATACACGCTTACAAGTGAGAAAGTGGCCTCAATAAAGTTTTATCTAGGTAAAAATCTAGCGAGGCTATTGAAGCAGGGCGTGGCCAGTGCCAGCTACCCATGTCCGGGACAAGCATAGTAGAGTTTCTGTCTGTGTTATTGCAATTCATATAGGTCAAGGCGATTAGTCTGCATAGAAGGAGACAGGACAAAGAGTTACTGGATTAAACCAGGGCGACCCAGGCCATTCTCGCGTCCTCATATCGGTACCAGGCTGCCGACACGGGTTAGAGAGGTGATGAATATAAACAAATGAGAAGCTAAAGGCCGCAATCCAGACTGCAAGCGGCCTCCTCAGAATCTACGGGACCAATAAGAGGGATTATTGAGAGTGTTCCAGTGTAGACAAGCATAACTATATAGAATATTCGACTGAGCTCCAATATGAAGTCTCAAATTCACACCGATGAAGCTCAGCAACGAGTACAGTGACTACATACAACGGAGCTGTTCCAACCAACCAACTTGCCCTTTCCAGAGGTCATTTGAATATTCGAGCAGAATATGGCACAGATCCATCCAAACGAGAGGGAACTTACTGCTACATCGTCATGTTAATGATGCGATCGGTTCTCTGAATACTTACGGATAATGAGCAGTTGCAAGCACACGCAAGTCTTATGAATATGTAGAAAATTCTGGAAAGCATCATAAGTTCATTTCAACTGACTTCCTATCGCTACCTTGTGTCAATATGGTGGATCCGTCGCAGACCTGCACCTATGCCTGCCGGCCTAGATCCTTTCGCCCTATCGTGGCACCTCCGTCGGCATACAGATACCTCGTAAACTGAATTCAATGAAATAACACTTCGTATCTACTCATTCCTAGTGATTTATAAGTCCCGAACTGCCCGCTTCAACGATCCTCGAAATGCCTTGTGGCTCCGGCGTCAATTCCCAAGCTTCGAGACCCCCTTCTAAGAGCTAGACGCACACGCCGATGGGTGTTCAGTCTGTACATCATGCAAAGTTCTGGGCCTCGGTGAGGCCTCACAGCCCGGGCGCCTCCGAAATACAGTTCCACATGGTTCCACATAGCCAATTGAAGGCAAGGGCCAAACGATTTCTGGACTCCTCGCAACCAGAGTAGGAAATTGCATCCCGGGAAGATGCCTATGTGACAAACCACTAGAACGCTACACACGCTATTCAAATCAAGTACAGTCGACCATGCCACTGGCAAATGTCCGTTCGAGGCGACCTGCATATTCCTCATGGATTTATGCCACGAAACCCATAATTATGATTGAAATTCATAGTCTCTACGTCCCAAGCGATCTCGATATCACACCAGACCCGTCTAGGCTTCTCACGGCGCTACATTCTTGACTGAAGATGGATACAAGGCCAGACAGATAGGGTCTAGAAAACAAAAAATGAGGACGGGAGGGCGGCAATACATAATGGCCTGGCTGCGATTGGAATCCGCAAACGGTATAAAAGAGTGAGGACTTGGGTATTCTCTGTCCACTGTCTCACAAGAAATCAACACTCAAAGATCTACTACAAAATGTCTCTTATGCCCATCGTCAACTCTGGTCAGTATAAAATCAGAAATCTCAAGTTTGGTGCCATCCGTGAGGACGAGGGTGCGCTGGGAGCGATAGGTAACTCGAACTGTGCAGAGCTCGTCGTATGTTCTTAACCACCTCTAATTAAATTGCTTCTCTAACACTTTCTCAAGTGGAACGTTACTTTGAACCCGGACAACTCACACACCCTTCAGGCTGTGTCTGCAAAAGCCGCAGCTGTCATTAGTTGTCCAGTCACTGAAGTCCCAAATCGCTTCTATATCAGCGTCGAGGAAGAATCCGCGCCGGGAATTCATTGGTTCCTCCAGCCAGTGCTGATTGGTTCCGACCCTCGTATTCTCTACGCGTACGTAATACATCCTGTCACGGATATTTGACACTCATATTGTCTGATAGTATCTATGAACCCGGCAGGCATGGCCACTGGGAACTTCTAAGTGCAAACAAGAAGGAACCTGTAAGCTCGCTCGAATCCTGGATCCATGGATATGTAAACTTTGTTTTATGTAGGTTAAACTCAACGAGGAACCGACTGATGATGAAAACAAGCCAGTTCCCACCCATTTTACTCCAGAGGCACTTTGGCTCTTCGAGTATGTCGCAGGTGCTGAGTAAACTAGAAGTATATAAGGAACCTTTTGATGCTACATCCTTTATCTAGTGGAGGCGAACCTGCCCTTGGTCATTAGGGATTGAATAACCAGGCTCTCCTGGTCCGAATTGGCGGGAAGGTGGCCCAACTACCCCGTAAAGAGAGCACATATTGAAATCAGACTCTAGAAAGTGGATTCATGGTATCTTGATCACGATGGTTTCCATTTGAATGTACCGTTGACATACACGCGCAGCTGTTAAGAGGCAAAGAATGGATCAAGTCAGCCGTGGTCAACGTTCACAATTGAATAACTGGGGACTCAAGGCTACGCTCTGATCTTGTGGTATTTATCGACTGCTCTGACCGAGGACAAGCAAGCCTCTCGACTCGACTGCATATGAAGTAAAGACGGCCACCAAATCACCTGGTTGATCCCTCGGTGTTGAAGGTTTACCCTTTGACTCTTAGTGCTCACTAAATAGACTTAGCCAATAGTAATAGCTCACGTCGTAACTCAATGTATTTAGGGACGTGGGACGATGCGGCCGGACCTTACTGGTCTTGCCTCTCACTTCATGCGTCCTAGGTTTGCCACACTATATACTGGTCTTGCCTCTCACCTCACGCGTCCTAGAATCAACGGAATCAACATATTTCAGACTGATTATGAGATGTATGTCTCCTATGTAATTGGCTAATTGGTTGTGATGGAATGAGGGAATGATGCCGTCTACCCATTCTAATGGTGCCCAGATAGTCATGTCGGCTACAAGGTGTGCCAAGTCAGGGCAAAGAGCCTCTCCAAAGTGACTTTTGTCCCCAACAAGCTCTTTGAGCAGAATCAAGGTCTCTTCAAGGTACCATCCCCTCGTTAGAGTGTCAAACCAAGCCGCATTGTATCTGAGATACAGTGGGCTCTAAAACTGTTCCAATGTTGGTCACAGGTGGCTTGTCGGCCTGATTACTCAATATCTCCATGATCTCTGCATCATATTCTCAGGCACTCTGCAGGAGCGGCAAGGCAAATCAAATTTTATTGTCCCCACTTGGCAATAGCACCATTTATATCCTAGGCTGATACATTCACTCATAACTATGAGCTTGTTCGAACTTTGGTCCACAATGTCCCACACTGGAAATTAGTGAAATCAAGTTTGGTCGCTCTAAGGTGACTTGAAGTGGGCATAGTCAGAACAAGACATGGGTGCTCCAGTCCATGACGATTATTAGGTGGTACCCAGAAGAGGTATTGACCAGAAGACTCCACCCATCCGTCGGGCAGCAAAGAACAATCACCAAATCTAGGTATAAAGAGAACTGGAAAAAACTTGATATGGCCAGAGAAACGTGTTCTATTTGATAGATTACCTACATTTAGCGTACGGTCAGTCACCATAACAAACTGACACTACAAACCAAAGAGATATTCAGAATCGACTCACCATTGTCCGAACTCGAGATTTGAATTGTCCTACTAATGGAGCCAGAGACAACTTGTGTGCCATCTGGTGAGAATGCGACAGCGTTCGCCGAGTATTCATGACCTTGGAGTGGCTCTCCCAATGGCTGGCCAGTCTCTGCATCCCACTGTCGAATTGTGCTGTCCCTTGAGCCAGAGACGATTCGTGTGCCATCTGGTGAGAATGCGACAGCGTTCACCGAGGATTCATGACCTTGGAGTGGCTCTCCCAATGGCTGGCCAGTCTCTGCATCCCACTGTCGAATTGTGCTGTCCCTTGAGCCAGAGACGATTCGTGTGCCATCTGGTGAGAATGCGACAGCCATGACCTCGTCTTCATGACCTTGGAGTGGCTCTCCCAATGGCTGGCCAGTCTCTGCATCCCACTGTCGAATTGTGCTGTCCCTTGAGCCAGAGACGATTCGTGTGCCATCTGGTGAGAATGCGACAGCCATGACCTCGTCTTCATGACCTTGGAGTGGCTCTCCCAATGGCTGGCCAGTCTCTGCATCCCACTGTCGAATTGTGCTGTCCCTTGAGCCAGAGACGATTCGTGTGCCATCTGGTGAGAATGCGACAGCAATGACCTCGTCTTCATGACCTTGGATTGGCTCTCCCAAAGGCTGGCCAGTCTCTGCATCCCACTGTCGAATTGTGCTGTCCCTTGAGCCAGAGACGATTCGTGTGCCATCTGGTGAGAATGCGACAGCGTTCACCGAGTATTCATGACCTTGGAGTGGCTCTCCCAATGGCTGGCCAGTCTCTGCATCCCACTGTCGAATTGTCCTGTCCCTTGAGCCAGAGACGATTCGTGTGCCATCTGGTGAGAATGCGACAGCGTTCACCGAGGATTCATGACCTTGGAGTGGCTCTCCCAATGGCTGGCCAGTCTCTGCATCCCACTGTCGAATTGTCCTGTCCCAAGAGCCAGAGACGATTCGTGTGCCATCTGGTGAGAATGCGACAGCCATGACCTCGTCTTCATGACCTTGGAGTGGCTCTCCCAATGGCTGGCCAGTCTCTGCATCCCACTGTCGAATTGTGCTGTCCCTTGAGCCAGAGACGATTCGTGTGCCATCTGGTGAGAATGCGACAGCGTTCACCGAGGATTCATGACCTTGGAGTGGCTCTCCCAATGGCTGGCCAGTCTCTGCATCCCACTGTCGAATTGTCCTGTCCCTTGAGCCAGAGACGATTCGTGTGCCATCTGGTGAGAATGCGACAGCGTTCACCGAGGATTCATGACCTTGGAGTGGCTCTCCCAATGGCTGGCCAGTCTCTGCATCCCAGCTGTCATGAATTGTGTCTGTCGAATTGTGCTGTCCTAGAGCCAGAGACGATTCGTGTGCCATCGGGTGAGAATGCGACAGCCATGACCTCGTCTTCATGACCTTGGAGTGGCTCTCCCAATGGCTGGCCAGTCTCTGCATCCCACTGTCGAATTGTCCTGTCCCAAGAGCCAGAGACGATTCGTGTGCCATCTGGTGAGAATGCGACAGCGTTCACCGAGTATTCATGACCTTGGAGTGGCTCTCCCAATGGCTGGCCAGTCTCTGCATCCCACTGTCGAATTGTGCTGTCCCTTGAGCCAGAGACGATTCGTGTGCCATCTGGTGAGAATGAAACTGCTGTGACACTACCCTGGTGACCTAGCAGCGTTCTGGGAAGCTCACGAAATGTTTCTTCAAGCCCTCTGGTCACAATTAACGAATTCATATACTCCTTTAAACCCTCCGTATGAAGTACTGACTTCCGTGGACTGAATGGGAGAGATGAGATGTAGATGTGTGGTGCGCTGTCTTGGATTGGTACAGAGAATGCCATCAAAAACCGTCTGATGTCATTCATCCGACCTCGGATCTCTTGCTCAAGCTATCTGTTGCTTTAGTAATCGGAAGGTCTCAAATAGTCCACGCACGCTCTTATGTTGCGTCGCAGCTCGCATTCCAGATACTGCCCGCATGACTCCTCCAGTTACGCTGAGGATCTCCATCCAATAGAGTGCGAATGGACTTTTGACTATACGTGCCAGCTCATTCCTTAGCCTGCGGCCCCAGTCACCGTCCATTGCGGCCACATGGAACGGCCAGTGCAAACTAGCATAGCGAAGCCTCCGCGAAATGAATTTCGCCACCCGGGCGTCAAGGTCTGTAATCTGCCTATTCAGATAGAAGGATGACTCGATTTGGCAAATATTAAACTTGAGCCCCTCCTTGCGCGATTTGAGAGTGTGAAGACACCATGATGCGGCTTGGCCATGTGCACGCGCGATGTTGATAAGATTCCTGTCGCAATCACCGATAATTTCGGTGCCACAGCGTCGTCGAAGATATTCAAAAAAGGTGGGGTGACGAAACTGTATCGAGTGCGTGATCGGATCCTCCTTAAGTACACTTCCCAGAATCCGTACCAGCGCTTCGGCACTCCCTTGTCCTTTGGTATGCTGAACAAGATCTTCCAAGTCATGGGTGGTGAGTGGTTCGAACGCAGCAAGCAGCATACCGAGCATTTCAATGATAACTGGTTTGGATGCTCGGTCAATGCGCTCGAAGACGAGGTCGTATACCTCGTCGATGGCTCCAGGCTGATCAATAGACGTCAGGCGATCATATATGGCCGCTGTATTGACCGCAGATGATTCATCATCGAGCATCCGACACGCAGTGCTCGCCCAAATGAACAGCCCCTTGGCCTTATCAACCAGTCGCTGGATCTTATCTGGCGTCAGGCGCCGGCCAAGCAATCGATGGACGTATATCGCAACGTCATCGATGTTGTCGCGGTGGCTAGCATCGTGGAGCCGATCTGTCAGCTTGGCCTTGATAGAAAGAGGTTCTAAAACCCTTTCGACCACAGGGTCTGGTCGACTTGTGATGAATATCCGAAGATTCTTGCTCTCCTGAGCAGCAGAAGCGAGAGTCTCAACCAGTTCTTTTCTCTGTGCTCCAGACTTGCATTCGTCAAGTGCATCTAAGACGAGGACTACTTGCGTCTGTCGATGCTGGAGTGGGTCGGTGATGAGCATTCGAAACTGTTGATCAAAAGAGGCTCGTAGGAGAGCAGGATTCCGCTTTACTATCTCCGCAATCGGTGTCCCAAGCTCCGGAATATGTTGAGCGAGTTCCCTCGCCATGGTCGAGCAAAACTTTTCGGTGTCTGAGCTTTCGCTGCTTGCCATGGAGAAGAAGAATCCGCCGCCTAAGATTCCTTGCTTCTTCCACTTCTCCATTGCAGTCATCGCGACGGTCGATTTTCCAGAGCCAGCTATATCACATAGCCAGAAGATCGGTTTTTCTGATGAATCGCCATCGGCCCATTGCGAGATTGTCTCGAGGACAGCCTGGCGAGTTCCTTGTAGACAGGTGGTATGGACAGAGGATGGGGCGAATGCGACTACCGGCAGTTGAGATACGAAAAGCGCGTCGTCTTGAGAATATTAGTAAACCTTCGTGTACACGAGATAGTTCATACCTGGTTGAGGGATGGTTCCTCCTTCACGACGGCTACTCGTGGGTCAGGAAAGAATCAGCGATGAGTATGTTACGAACTGCGCAAGTTATTCTCCATAAACCATTTTTGTGCACGGCATCGGGGCGTTCTCAGCGCACTCCGTGAGATAGTAAGCAACTGCTTGGTAATCTTCACTCTCTTCCGTCTGGAATCTGACAAGGTTCTGGTGATCGCTATGGAGTACGACCGCAATAGCGTTTTGATCGCCAGCGATCACCGCCGAGTGATACGGAACATTCTATAAGCCAGTTAGCACCCACCCATAAGACGATTTAGCGCACCTACCAAATGTATCTGCTGTTCGTCGGCTCCGGTGCTGTATTCCTCGCAGAAGAAGACGCTGTTTATCTTTTTACTCGCGGTGAGATACAAGCTCTGGATGTTTTCGAGTTCATCCGAGTGAGCGTGAAGGTTCTTGACAATGACTTCTGTCGATTCCATACATGGTGCTGCCAGGCGAACGATCTTCTTAAGGAGCGTTTCTTCTACGCCGGAATGCGGGGTTCCAAAGAAGAGGATGGAATGGGTGGATACCACGATATTTCGTAGGCCGTCTTTTGATTCCAGGTCCTCATTGTTGCATATGACAAGCGCCTATGAGACCGTCAGGGTCAAAATGTAGTGGACATCCTCGGACGAACCCATTTGAGAATGATGCCTCCCAAATCGTGAGCAACAAAGATGATGGGGCGCTAGGGTGATTAGGGAAGAAGGCACCGGTTTACGGATGCCACTCACTCGAGGAGCATCTTTACGCTTCCGTAAAATAGCTTGAGCCAGACCGACGGCGTGGCGGCGCATAGTCTGGGTCGATACGCACTCCGTACTGTGAGTGTCGGCGTCGTAGCCATAGGTCAGGATACGGGCACGAGGCAATGAGGACGGCAAGAATTGGCGTAGCCAAAGAACGCCATCGTCTGTCATCCAAGTCTTTTCTCTGTGACCATTCAAGCCGTGGATTGCTATGATACTGGAGTTGGGAGGTCAGCACGAAGCGACTACAGTGCCCCGAATGTGCTTACTCGACGGTGGGATCCTCTGGGCATACCAATTCCAGGAATCCAAGGTCTTCCTTCTTGGTTTTGGACGTAGAGGATTTCGATGTTCTAGGATGTTCACTTGCAGCAGTCCGATCGTTCAGTCGTTGCCAAAGTCGGGCAACATGATTTAGGCCTCGTGGAAATGGCCGTGCTTTGCCTTGCTCTTGTGACATTGTGCGCTCTTGAGTTGTTCAAACAGTCGATAGTGTCGTCTGAACGGGCCTTAGGACGTGCTGTAGGGGTCTTACGGTCCTAGAGGTGTCGGGAGCAAGCCTCATTGTTTCCAGACGAACCAGCAGGATGACCGGTCAGTAGGCTGATATGAATCGTCCAATCGCAGTTCGATTCGATAGACGCCAGAGTCTGATTGGTGTGTGACTTTGTATTCGGATAAGATGGCAACTCAGGATAGCGGTACTAATCGTGTCCACCAGCATGCGAGGACTCGCTGGGATCTGGCAATATATGGCCAAAACGAGTTGACCTTTGTTTGACCAAGTGTTCGCGCCGACCGCGACTCTGTAGTCTGCGGCTCTCGGTCCATTGCGCTGCGAGTTGTACCAATGTGTACAAGAAATTCTAGTATAATACATACTGATTCCTTTTCTACCGCAACTGTGCCTAGGGAAGCGTCCTTCGTGACTCTTCTACGGCTAGCTGCTCACGATGCGACTCTTTCGCCTTGAAAGTATCAACATTCGAGTCCTCAGCCCACCTCAAATCGACTCCCACTTCTTTGGCGTCGATCCGCTCCAGCGTTGGAGATTTGAGGCCGTCATCTAGCAGCCGCAGTCTGGCCCTATTCGACGCGGAGTGACCTTGGTATCGCTCGTTCAATCATCATGAGTGCGTAGTCTCATTCTACTCGACGCTCGACGTCTCCACGCGTTTCTGGACTTGCTGGCTAACATATTCGAGGTCGAATACATCTTTCGAGTCAGACATGAACTGTATTTAGTACCAAACGTGTGTTTTCTAGTCAAGCAGCGCCTTTCGGGGTCAGTCGTTATGCTTGCGAGCGTCCTGGACAAGAGACATGGTCACGATGGGTGGGAAAAGGACGTCATTTGAACGCTCCAGTAGACATGCGCCTGCAGAGATATGTTTCGCGATAGCCATTGGATCCAGTGCGAACGTCGACGCGCTACTGCGCGCAGTGTCAAGATTCGCAGCGCGGCGGATGCACATCTCCTCTTGTATGCAGTGGCACGTGTCTGTTCCACTCGTCCAACACAAATGCATGCGCCATCCCCATCCATAATCTCCTACGCGGTGTCAACGAGGAAACATCCCAGGTAGATTGGCGATGGGAGATCTACAAGGCACTCCGCTCTGCATTGGCCAGAGTCTCTTTTCCCTCGTCTTCATTCAACCACCCATCATCACCCTGCTGGCACACAGTCTCGGCCCTCGCTCTGCGCTATCGTCCTCCTCTCCATGGTTATACCCATGCACCCAGTCACCACCAACACGCATACTCCATGTCAGTCGGTTACAACGTCGACGCGCTTCCTCACTATGCAACCCCGCATCCACCAGCCCACCCTCCTAGGTCGAACTCGATGAGCGAGGCGGGTCAATACCAGGCGCCATGCCATACATACGATTATTCTCCTCGATCACCGCTATCTCATTGTCCAAACTACTATCCACCGCCCGGAGAACCGCACCCATCTCTTACTAACGCCCGCTCTCAATCGTACAATGGCTCTCCCCAAACACCTATCAATACCATCCTCCACCTGCGCATCATCCTCCCTATTACCGTGAACCGGTCATGACTCAGCCCGACAGTCCCTCGGAAATGCACATGATGCGTTAAATGTCATACCCACTCGCCGCACCGCAGACATACGACCATCCATTTGCATACCAGCTACCGACTCTCACTCCAGCGCCCGCCGATGCAGCGCCAACTCAACAGTTGCCCACCCCACCTGCCCAAAATCCCGAGCATCGTTATGCTGTCCCCGCACCTCCACACCTGCAGGTACCAATTCATATACGCGACCTATTCGGGCTCTGTGGATAATGGACATGCGTACGGATCACCCAGTCCAGCAAATGCGGGCGTGCGTAGTCCACCCAGTGGTGTAGTACGAACAGGGCGAAAGCTGCGTAGATAGGATGAGCCCGAGGAACGTGGGTCCATAGACGCTAGGACCTCTCACTTTTCGCCCTATCGTCGTCCCATTAACCTCGCCAACGTCCAGCCGCGGAGTTTGCTCCGTCCAGTGGTCATTTCGATCCGTTCCATCCACCTCTTATCGAGTCAGGTCAGCAATCACGCGCGTCTTCGATACCGAGTAAGACGTGGCAAAACGGTTTCTTGAACGAGGCTGACTCGACGACAGGCAACGCCTCTACACCTCGGCCTGCGAGTGATTCGCATAATCAACCCCCTGGACCACATCAGATTGGGTATACATATGAACGCGATCCCTCCTGGTCAACCCAATGGTCCACCGAACACCCCTCGGTCTCCTTATAATCCCAGAGCGCATATGCCATGCCCGCCGACGGAAGAACGCAATTTCGTAATCCAAGCACCTCGACAGAAAACTAAATACCACCTCAGCCAAACACTGGCGGACATTTCCAACCGCAACTTGAACCGCTCGCCAATCCAGACGGCTCGCCTCCGTTTACACATTTCTGTTCTTCCTCTGGAACCGATATTGCAAACGTCACCAGCGCGAGTCGTGAGTCTAGTTGTAGCCTATAGACGTCTCATTGACGCAACGCCAGCAGAGGGCTCGACGTCGTCAAACGGGACAACTCGCAAGCGCTCACGTTTCGTCTTCATCGGCACCACTAGCCAAATTGGACATGAACATTACAGGCGGGAGTACGACGAGTCAAACGAGCGCAACATGTGCAACGGGTGGTGCCGTTAGTTCAAAGTTGGGCCCACTCACGCCTCGACACATCATTCGCGTGACCTGCATGACGAACGTGTGATCGAGCTGCTCAGTCGTGTCGCTACCGGGACGACTACGCCAGTCGCGACTGCACCCGAACAGTCGATGGCTGGAGCCGGGGATGGCGGGACTGCAGGCAACCTGACAGACTCAAACGACTGATATTGGTGAGACCCCCTTTCCTACTCGTATTTCTCAGACGGCTTGGTAACACTTGTGCAGACTTCTTGTGACTCGACACGGACTTTTCGTACCTAGTGGCGTACACCTCTCATGGACTAGTGGTTCTCTCAAAGCCGTGTCATCGTACCGTTCTTGTCTAATACATTTACCTTTTGTATGCCACTGTTAGTGTTTCGTACTGTATGCAGAATGCAATATGTCTTCTTGATATCAAGCCTCCGTTGCGATAACAGTCTAGTGGCAGACAATCTCTTTGTGATTGTAGTATCGCCGTCTGGCAGTCTATGAGGCAGCGATCATACGGGTGGTCAGGAGTCAAAAAAACGCTGACATTGGAGTCGAACTATACCACTTAAAGCGTCTACAGCTCAGCAAGAGCAACTACGAATGTCTCTGTTCTCCTGTCCCCGATACCAGCCCTCTGGGCATCGGCAGTGCTCAAACCCGAGGTGTATACAGTACAATGACATGATACTCCCCGCGAACGAGATGAATCGGTCACCCTCTTCCGATTCTCCTCACCTGTCACCTTTTGGCATCGCCAAACTTCCCCATAGTCCTAATACCCTAGCATCTATCACAGCACCGCTCAAAGACATCAGCATCGACCTTGTTCGTATCGTTGCATTTTGGTTTCCTACATATCCTCTGTCGTCCAGTCATCTTGTTCTGTTGTACCCTACAGTGGCTCCATGTAAGGTTTTTGGTGAGAGTGAAGACGTTGTGAACGTCGAGTCGAGACTTTGTATTCAAGGAACGATGAATAAAGTCGACTTTAGACGAAAAGAACCTGTGTAACGCGTGTATATTGAGGACGGTTACAAGGGAGTACAAGTCTACTCTTCTGATACGAGAACGGTCAAGTACTACAGGCTATATAGAGGGTGTGGAAATAGATCGGAAGGAATGGAGGAACTGAGGATGTAAATCGGGACGAGCAGAAGGCATCTGACTCAGGTATAGGGGTAAAAGAGTGACGATGGTCAGAGGACCATAAGGAACAGAACGGGAACAATGTAGCGAATGGAGATGGTAACTAGGACAAGGACTAATGCGATGAAGAATAATCCTTGATTCGCACGAGGTAGCAGCGTCGTGCAGAGCAGACGCGCGAGCCTACATACGCCCTCCAGTCCTTGGACTAGGCTATCGCTCAGTGAGCGGGGTTGTAGTACCTTGAGAATTCTCTCATACGAGGAGGTGGATACGTATCCATGTGCGGGAATGCGTGATGGACGAACTTTCGACCGCGAGGATGATGATGATGTTTGTAGGGCGCCACCCATTGAGTGTACGGGGTTCCTGAGTGCGCGGGTCCGTGGTATTGCGTCACGGGCACGTCTAATTCGGATTCCGGGCCGTTCATCACGACGTCTACCATGCGAGTGAGTCTTTGTTGACTTTGAGCCTCTCATATTATGCTGCTCACCACCATCATTCGACACTTCTTCTTGCTTTCGGCAACGACGTCGCGACGGGCGAGAAGAAGGCGTTCGAGTAGGAGGTGCCTTGCCGAGCGAAGGAAGCAGTTGCGAGACCGGTTCCTCCTTGACGGAGGGTTCGGGTGCATTGGGAGCTCGTGTATAATCAGATCGAGTTCTGAAACGTTCCATGAACACACCATGAGAGACGTTGCTTTTCGCTTTAAGCTTTTCCACAGCTCTTTCGAGGTCGTGGATCCGCTTCTTGACGATTTCGAGCTCTCCAGCTAGGACAGGTTTGAGCTTTGCGGTGACAGATGCGGAAACGCGGGGAATAATAACAAGCGTCTCATCATCGACAGGTGTATCGTCAATGATTGGCTGTGTTGTAGTCACCAGTTCAGTGGGGGAGTCGACTGAAGACATGGTGGCTCGACGCGAGGAATGAGAACAAATGGGTACTGTTTGTGAGATAGCTGAGGTGGGTTCGGGCTTTATAGCCACAACCGCTACGCGTATTTGCGCGTCATTGGGAGTCTTTCCCTGTCCTTCAGCCAGCCCTTCGATTGTTTCGACCCCTTGCGCCTCTAGGTAACGTTCCATCGCTGCCAAGGCTTTGATTGTAGCGTATAACTCCCAGGATTTATCCCCAGATTTCCATAGTACCTCGAATATAGCTCGTTTGCCCTTCCCTTCGTGTGACACGATCTTATCTACCGGCCACTCCGAAGGTTTTCCAAAGCCAGTCACATGCTCTAAGGTGCGTCCCGGGAACTTTCTATCGTCATTAGGAATGTGTATACGCAGCAGCGATGCATGAAATACAGGGTGTATTCCTCTCTGCTTCAGTTCTGCAGGTAACTCAAGCCTAAACGACGCTCCAGGTACGATAACCTTCACTATCTTGTATGGCCCAATGTACTTAGGTATCAATTTCCTAGCACGGCCTTTAGGGATAGAGAGGTTCTTCGTTGATAGGTACACAAGATCTCCTTCGGCGAATGGAGCCGGTCTGCGGTGTTTATTCGCTTCAGAGGTTTGTTTCACTCTCGCAGATAGAATGGCGTCGTGCGCGCTCAGAATAGCCTCACGAATTTCAAGAGCTCGTTTCCTGACGCCCGGATAAACCGTTTCGTCAGTGGTAAGCATAGAGCGCGGCATTTGTCCGTAATTTAGGAAGAATGGCGAGTATCCCGTGGACACTGATCTAGCCAAGTTCATAGCGAATTCAATGGCAGGTAACTTCGTCGCCCAGTCTCTCTGATGGTCTGATACGGCTTGTCTGAGCATTGTAGTCATTGTGCGGTTCGCTCGTTCAGTCGCCCCATCGGTTTGAGGGTGGAACGAGGTGCTAAGCCGGAGTTCGACACCGATCAGGCGGTGTAACTCTGTCCAGAACGTGCTTGTGAAGTATGAATCTCTATCGGATATAATTCGCTCCGGAAGACCATGTATTTTATAGACTTCTTCGAAAACAAGTTCGGCAACATCCTTGGCGGTGTATGTCTGTCGCATAGGTACTAAGTGCACCATGGAGGTCAAATGATCAATAATAGTGCATATCATGTCATATGAGCTATCCCTGTTCGAGGAACTCGGGAGTGGTCCGACAAAGTCAATTCCAATTGACTCCCAGGCACGCTTCGGGACTTCAAGTGTCTTTAATAGTCCAAAAGGTTGCGTGGGAACTGCTTTCGAATGTGCACATGTCGTACATGAGCTGCAGTACTCGGAAATATCCTTACTCATTCCTTTCCACCACACGTTCTCTCTGAGGTAACTTAGAGTCTTCTCAGCGCCTAAGTGGGCTAGAATCGAGTGCGCGTGTGTGATTAGGATTTCTCGGACTTTTCTTCCTTCAATTTCGACGTCAGGTATGCACAGGACTCTTTTTCCGTCAGTTTTATGATACAGGAGTCCATCATCGAGCATGAAGTGATTGTATCCAACAGGATTCTCGGCAATTGGCGCAAAGAAACTGTCATCACTGTAACGACCACGGAGTCCACCTGGAAGGCTAATTCCTTCTTCCGCTTGGTTGACTAGGTACGTTAAGCTCGGAGAAATCTCTGGTAGATCATCGACATCATGTGTTTGGTTCACAGCTGTCGGTTGGGTCGTCTTGGGTATGGCCGGCTCTTCACTACACGGACTTTGGCGTCTGTCAATCTCGGAGAATTGGTCGCGTGCCTCGCGCGCTTCATTTTCTGACGTGGGATTAGGCGTTTGATTCGGCAAATTGACTCCGATCACGCTAGGATTAGAGTTAACAGTGCGTTTTGGCGGCTCCTCATCACTCGCTGAGTTCTCTTCAGATTCAGGGGAGAGTTCACGCGTAAATATCGGCCGTTTTGGCGTCGCTGGCTTTGGTGTAGTCAGTTCGGCCCGAGGGGCGTCGCCCTCCACTGTCGCTCCGACAGTTTGCCCTTGATTGCGCGCTTTTTGCGCTCGCGTGACAGCAAATGCCGCCATCTGGGCCTGTACAGGTTTACCAGTATAGAGTGGCTTCGATCTGGCCATACGACCGCGGATTATCTGTTCAATTTCCTTGGTCTCCTCTTTGCTCATAGGTCGTGTTACGTACTCGCTGTCAGTGCGGATGATTCCCTTTGGTTCATCCGAATATATTCTGGATAAACCATCCGCAATGCAGTTTTCGCCACCAGGCACGTATGAAATCTCAAAGTCAAAGTGAGAAAGTTCTTCTAGCCATCGTTTCTGGCGTGCGTTCAGCGATCTCTGCTTAAATAGTGCGCCGAACGGTTCATGATCTGAATACACTGTGAACTTTGTGCCATAAAGAATGTGCACGTATCGTTTTAGTGTGGTGACTATTCCAAGGAGCTCTCGGTCATGCGTAGGGTAATTTTGTTCAGCAGGGTTGAATTTTCCCGACCAAAACGCGAGAACGCGTCCGGATTCGATATCTTTCCCTGCCAAATTACTCCGCCAGCCCCTGTCAACGACGCATCCACATGGACACCAATTGGATCAGCTCCGGGTTTCCGGTCGGCAGTCTCACGACGGTTCCCTCGCCACTTGCAAATAATGCTTTTGACCTCTTCAAAGGCTCTCTGCTCGGTAGCTCCCCAGTGCCATGGTTTATTTCCCTGCAATTTCGACAAGACGGCTAAGGGTATTGCCACACCATGACAGTCTCGAGCTAAATACTGAACCATTCCAGTGAACGCTGCCACTTGTTCAGGAGTCGTTGGTGTCTTCCAGTTCTCAATCCGGTCAACCTTGTGCGGGTCCATTAGGATTCCTCGTTCGTCAATGACGTGTCCGAGTACCTTTAATGGTCTGGCAAAGAACTGGAGCTTCTCGACTGAGGTAAGGTATAGTTTCTCTTTCCTCAGGACATTAAGCACGGTACGGATATGCTCAATATGCTCTTCCACCGTATTAGAGAAGATGATGATATCGTCTAGGTATACGAACATGAATTTCCCTGCATATGGAGCGAATAACGAGTTCATGAGCGTTTGGTACGTCGCTCCTGCATTACAATCTCCTTGCTGCATCACTTCACTGACCATAGTGCCATCAGGCGTGTTAAAGAGAGTCTTCCACACGTCGTCAGGATCAACTCGAATCTGTTCGTACGCATCACGTCCATCAATGAGTGACTTATGCTGATATGGAGCGACAGTCTCGAGGATTGTTTGTATGTCAGGTAGTGGAGATGAGAGTTTGATTGTATTCTGGTTAAGTCTCTGCTTCGCAAACACAGTCCGTAGGCGTTTCTCGCCATTTAGGCCTGGTTTCTTCGGTATGAACAACATGGGGACAGCGCTACTTCCAGTGGCATATTTCCACCGACCTGTACGAAGGTATGTGTCGCGTTTGCGCTCCCATTGTTCCTGGAAGGCTTGAGGGCATCGAGATGGGATGTATAGTAACTGAATTGACTCGTCTTTCAGTGGTATTCGATGATTAACGACTCGATACGGCGGAAGTGGCGTCTCGTCAGCCGATTTGCACAGGTCAGCCGCCTCTAGTCGCATCATTTCTCTAACCCTCTCAAGATTTTTATCGAGTATACGAGCGGCTTGTGATGATATTCTCGCCGTGTCATCGCCTTGAATAGGCTTCGATTTCACGCTCTCAAATGCGAAGCGGGTTGGGTTAAAACCGACTAAAGCTTGATGCTGGAATAGAAACGGTGTACCGAGGATAATGTCATATGAATCTATGTTCATGACATCAAATCGTCTCGATTCAGAGATTTCCTCATACTGTAATTTAACAGTAGCCGTCGCGTTTATCTTACCACGAGATCCTCTGACTGCCAATTGCACCGATAATGGCACTTCAAGGTTGTCATACGGAATCTTCAGCTGGTCTACGAGAGTAGTGGATATAAAGTCGGCCATAGAGCCCGAATCTACGAGCATTCTAACCGGATTGCCATTGATAAATCCATCTAAAACGCAAGGCTTCGGCGTGCATCTTTCGATATCTCGAGTTTTTGCTGCGTTACGCTCAATGAGGGTGCCATTTCCCTGTCGTGCGGGTCTTCCCCGTCGCGATTTCACCTCTCCGGTCATGTGTACGCGGAGATGTGCCTGATTTTCACTTTCCTCAGGGTCGCTTTCTTCGCCATTTGGCGGAATTGCGCCGTCGTCTCGGCTGAATCTCGCTAACAATCTTGTGAATCGTTCTCTGAATGGCAGTGCGTCGTCATCTGCGAGTTCGCTGTCGCTACAGGGCGATATTCTCTCGGAATCAGAGTTTGAATCGTCTATGAAGGGCCTGTACGTTGTCATTGCGTCTCTGAGTTTCGCATATTGACTATCTATACTAGACTTTGTCTCGAACAGTTCGTCGGACTCTGAGTCTGAACTGTCAGGCTCGTCATCGTGCATTTCCACATCGGAATCTACCGGCACAGGTATCAGGGCTGGTAAGTCATCGTCTTCTGAGGGTACTTTATTGATTATTTCCCGCTCAAGTATGTCAAAATCATAGTCGCAAGCCTGAATCTTTGCGTCCGGTTCTAGCAAGTGAGCCCATTCGGTTCTCTGTGAGTCTGCGTACTCGTAGTAACTTCGGCAGATATCAAAGTCTTCATCGTGTAAGTCCATAGCAGTGAACGACCACTCTAATCCGAGTAATAGGTCATCGACAATGAAGATACCGGGGCAATCTTCCATGGGTTCCACGATAAATCGCTTTCCCTCATACCCAATGGCATCATGCACAATCGGGATGTCATGGAGCCCGGTCTCTAGTTCGCCTTCGGCCCATATCTGGACTCCAAGGTTTCGACATTTAACCGTATTCCGGTCTGGTTCGGTCACTGGGACAAATAGCATGCTTCCGCACATCAAATTCGTCACATCCTTGGCCTGGGCATCGATCTGATCAAAGGTAATACTCCCGGATATCAGTTTTGGGGGCCTAAGCTGATTTCGCTTCGGGCAATCATGCGCTCTATGTCCAGTTTCATGACAGTTGAAGCATTGACCTTTAGCTCGGTGCTCTTCCATCTCTTCAGCAGTTAAACGACGATGCGTCTGCTTTGAGGTGTTAAAGTCACCCTTCCGCCCTCCAGTCGAAGTATGCTTCGATTTCTGACCACCGTAAGTTTTTCCTCTTCGATCTCTGGTGTCATTTGGACGAGGTTTGACATTCCTTGCGCTATCCTTCTTTAGGATCGAAGCAGTTCGGATCATCCGAGACTCAGTTTTGTCTCGTTCAATCTTCATCTGCTGTTCCTTGCGCTCAATACGCTCTGCAGCCTCTTTCAGCTGTTCAAACGTCGACTGCTCACGCGAATATCCCTCTCTACACCACTCAATGCGAATGGTAGGTCGCGCACCGTCCCAGAACTGTCTGATCTTCTCCTTCTCGCTTATGTCGCCTACAGGCTTCGCGAGGTCTCTAATTCGCTGGGACCATGCACGCACCGAGAGAGTACCCTGGTATGACTTCGCAAATCGGTCTCTGAGTTGCTCTATGATGTTCGACGGAAATAGCTCGTCAAAGAATAGTCTAATGACTTGATCTTGCGTCCATTGTTCAATCTCTGGCGATACAATCGACATGAAGGTGCGTCTCGCTTTCCCTTCGAGGAAATTCGAAAGTGTTGACACTCTCATGTCCTCTGGTACGGCGTGATTCTTGTACCACAAGTTCACATCGAAGAGCCATGACTCAAAGATATCGATATTCGCATTACCATTCCATTTCTCCGGCGGTAATAGCTTCAGGGCTGACGCTATCTTAGCGCGGTGAGCCTCTTCAGCTTTCTCTCTTCGCCGTCTACTGTTCTTTGACTTCTTACGCTTCCCTTTAGATCTTCCAGCGGCACTCACCTCTGAGTCAGAAGACGATGGTTCGTCAGAACTCGAGGAACTGCTGTCGCTCGGGTCGGGTGCATTAGCCAGGGCATTGGCCGGTGTTTTCGCCGATGAATCGGCTGTTGTACTGGCTATGCCGGCGTTTGTGCTTGGATTCGGGGCGCTGGCTGTCATCGGCGGTATGGTTGTCGTAACCGTCTTCGAGGTATCCACTTTCCCGGTATTTGCTCCGAAACCACTCGGATAAATGATTCGAGACGGTTTGGACACGGTACTAGTCGCTTTTGGTCGCGATGGCGTCGCCATTTGGGCAAACAGGTATGTTGACGGATTAATCTGCTCCGAAGGCGGGATACTCAATGGTATATTGGTGAGAGGAACTACTCGTGGGACTTGCGAGCCCTCACGGATAATCTCGCTGACTGTTCTCTCGTTTCCAGCTTTGGCTCGTAGCTCATTTGCTCGCTCATTCGCTGGTCTCCGAATCGGCGTTGACATCACATTCATTTGTGGCCGCATGATGAATTCACTGCCTTCCTCGCCTTCAGAAATTGACTCAATTGTCATGTGTCGACCGGACCGATGTCTTTCGGGTCTACCCGGTGGTCTCTCAGACGCCTGGGCATGCTGTTCATCCAGCTCGTCTTGGATACGTTGCGCCACTTGGCGGTCATGTTCAATCAGGGCTAGCATGTCAGCTTCTAGCGAGCCTGCCTCAGGGGCAAATCGGACCGTCCCATCACGAGAGGTCATCGGAGGTAACTCGGTGGCTCTAAATTTGCCTTTCGCTGCCGTGGAGAATCGTTCAGGCTCAGGATCCGCTTCGGAGGGGCCTTGCAATGACTCCCTATCAGCGATTCGTGGTCCCGGTGCCGGCACACTCGGGTTCAATTGGGACAGTGGCATCTCTAAAGAGGCCAGAAACTCTTCTTTGGTCTTGCCTTGGGCAACTTCCCATAGCGCAATCAGCGCTCTTTCTTTATCCCATTCATCATCGATGCCTATCAGTCAGAGACACGGATTCTTGATCAATATGACTGTCTTTATCCTTGGGAACTACGCCCTCTTCGTCAGAGATAATACCATAGTCGTATCTGACGGTGGTATTGTCGCCTCCCTCGAAGCTCAATGGGAAGTGCTTCGGGCCGGTGATCGGCGACGTTCTTGAACCTTCGGGACTCCCAGTCCGAGTCCTGGCTATGCCCGAGGTTTCTGAATCACTGTTTCGCATCCTTCTCGGACGCACTATCCTAAACTCTGACGGTCGTGTTTCAGAGTGGGGCTCGGCTGTCCTACCCACTTCTGACTCTAATGCGAACGGAGATACAGTCTGGTCCGGTTCGCCTGTGGCCTCATCCAAGATCGAGGCGACATTCTGTGCACTGGTATTCGCTATTTCGGGTGATCCGACTATAGCTCTCGCCCGCAGGCGCTCAGGGTATTCCTCCACTGGACGTGGCTGAGTTCGACCCTTCTGGCTAGCCATTTCTTTTTGGATTTTATGCGCGCGTAAATAAAATGAAAGATGAAAGATAAGAGATCAAAATTTTTTGTTTTTGGGCTTTTATGAATATAATCAGAGGAATGAACGTCTCTGGTGTAGAAATAGATGATACGAGGCTTTGTCCGAGTCGAGAACGGAACAGAATAGACAACACGAGGTTGATAAAGCCGGTGATCAGTCGGCTAGATCGGATATATACGCGATTGGGTTCAAAAATGTAAGGTTTTTGGTGAGAGTGAAGACGTTGTGAACGTCGAGTCGAGACTTTGTATTCGAGGAACGATGAATAAAGTCGACTTTAGACGAAAAGAACCTGTGTAACGCGTGTATATTGAGGACGGTTACAAGGGAGTACAAGTCTACTCTTCTGATACGAGAACGGTCAAGTACTACAGGCTATATAGAGGGTGTGGAAATAGATCGGAAGGAATGGAGGAACTGAGGATGTAAATCGGGACGAGCAGAAGGCATCTGACTCAGGTATAGGGGTAAAAGAGTGACGATGGTCAGAGGACCATAAGGAACAGAACGGGAACAATGTAGCGAATGGAGATGGTAACTAGGACAAGGACTAATGCGATGAAGAATAATCCTTGATTCGCACGAGGTAGCAGCGTCGTGCAGAGCAGACGCGCGAGCCTACACGGTTCTAGCGTCATCGCAACAGCGCACCAGATCTGCAAAACGATGGGGGATGTAGGAAGATGCTCGTTATGACAGATAATGTATCAGAGCTGACTTCGAGCGTCTGAAGCGATATAGAGGAAAGCCACCCAATCGGTTGGGCGAAAGAGCAATAAATGAGACCAAGTTCCTGGATCTTCCCGCTGGCCAGCAACTTGGTAGGCAGAGCTGATATGTAGATGCCTCTCATCTCCAGCGCTCTTAATCGTTTGCATGCGACTAGCCAGTCGTCCAAAAAAGTCAAGTTACTCTGGTGCGAAATGGAGATCTTCTCGAGAAATGGTAGTGTCGGGGTAGCCCTCGGTTTGATTTTAGTCCTCAGAAGAATTCCATCAATGTCTAAAACTCGGAGATTTTGGAAAGAGAGGAGTTGCGCATGAAATTCTCCTTTGTAAGCCTCCCCATGGAGCGCCAGGTGTGACAGACGGAGATGTCTCCCGGGCTCAATGAGCAGAAATGGGTGAGGGGCCGGTCCAGTAAGTCCACTTTTCACAGAATACGTGACCAAAGGGGCAATGAAGAGTCTCCAGAGACTCGATTAGATTGATAATTCGGGCATAAAGATGAGTGATGGGCGCCGACTGCCGCATCGACTGCCATTGGAGTCTAAGGACCCTGACGAGCGACCTAACGAGGTGTTGGTTGAGTAATGCGTTGCAAAAAATCTCCGCCTCTTTCCTGTTGTCAATGTAAACACTGCGACAAAAGGTATTCCATCGCTGGACCATGCCATGCGCGGCAAATTCGCGCCAAACCCAATCTGGGTGGAGTCTCCATCTTGGGCCAGATGGAGTAATTATACCGAGAAGATGGCCGAAGATCTCCAGCAAAATTTCTGCAGGGAGTTGAGGGCCGTAGTGCTGAGTGCATTTGAGTCGACTTCTTCCGAAAGTTATCAGATTTTTATGAGAATTTGTGGGAAAGTAAGAACCTTGATGGCGGCGGAGAACGACCTATGCGCTGGGCTGAGCTGCGTTTCAAGCGCTTTGGGAATCGCCGCGTCCTTATGTTTGCTGAAGATCATCGAGCCTTGTATTATCCAGTTAATTATTTAATGAAATTCAGACCAGACGAGGCGAAGTTCAAGGTGCGTGCGTCGTTTCTGTTTCGAACACACTCGAGTAAAGTATGGATAGTTGAGTGGTAATGGAATGGCATAGGCAATAGAAACGGGCGGTTCCGAGGCGCGCGTCTCTTGAACCCCTACCACTTTCCCGACTATGTTTAAGAAGGCGACCAAGGTCTTGCTATATTTTATTTGCCACGAAACGGAACCAGAATCCACTTTGGTACGCTTATTCTAATCTTCAATTCCTCACCTGACGCTTGGCATCGCCGAATAGCAACCCAAATTAACAGTAAATGAGAATAACGTAGCTGCCACTCTGCCAAACGAGCTATTGTATCTCATATTCTCGCATCTTCCATATGATCCGCTCTATGACGACTGGCCGCGCTGGCCATTATCCTCTCCCGCTCATGCCTTGCCGTTAGTATGTCGGCATTGGAGATACCCGGCGACATCATCACTATATGCCGCCGTCGAACTGCGGACCATTGCCCAGGTCCGCTCATTCTATCGAACGATTCTTCAATTCCCGCATCTTGCGCCACTCGTCAAGACTCTGTTCTTACCTATCCACCCGCGGAAGCCCTGTCCAGCCTCGGTGGTAGACGAATGTGATAGACTGATGCGCCTTTTGCCATGCTTGGACGAAACGTCGTATCAGCTGGACTCTCACCGTATCAACTTTCCAAACACGGCTGGTGCAGATAATCAAAACAAAAACGCACTTGTTCGCTATCTAGGTCTCGCCGCATGCATAGCGCAAGTCGGGCCCGGATTTCCCGACATATCGCGTGAGTTTGGAGGCCTACGGTGCTTACTTCTCAGCGGATTCCGAATTCGCCAGCGTGTCGACCCTGCGGTAACGCCACCTCTTCTACAACTCGAAGAGATTACCATTGTGGGCGACGATAGCTTCCCTTACCTCGACGACTGGCTCTGCGGCTCGCCCCGTCTGCGCACACTTTGCGTGGCATCCATCTGGGATCAACAGCCATCTCCCCCGGTGAGAGTCTTGAGGACAAAGCGAATTCATTACATCGCCATCGCTGGGTGCTACACGGATCATAGCTACCACCTATCGTGGCTCGGCATTTCCGACGCTCTCCGGATTTTAAACGTCTCTGCGGACGTCTTCCATAGTACCTATCCGCAGTTCCCGACCGAATTAGCGGAGATGAAGATTTGGGTTGTTAAGGGGATACCCCTCAACACAGACATGTTTATCCAATACCTTGAGGGTGGCCCAAGGATTGGAAGACTGATTCTCGAGGTGGATGTCCACCTGGAGAGCTTTTCAAACGCAAAGGAAAAGATCATCGAGGTCTGTAAGCGGAAAGAGATTCCGCTATGCATTGACGTTGGACAATGTGACTGCGAAACGGGTGTGTTATATTCATATGTATCGGTTTTCCGAATATTCTGACGGTTTTCAGAGATAAAGCCAGAAGAACCTCCAGAAATCCCGAAAGGAAAGGTTTCTCAGTTATGGTTGCAGACACTGGCGGCTGCGAAACATATCATCGGAAAGCAAAAGGATCCAGTCGTCAGTGACGAAGAGAGGGCAATCCTTGAGTGGGAGACTGATCAGCAGCTGCCGGCCAGTTCCTGATCCATCCATTGGCCGGGTTTGTGGACCTCAAACGGTGTTTTTTACGTATGCATCTCATACTTGAGTAGCGACTTAGTATCGTTGTTTATCCCACCAGAGAGACGTTTGCCTCAGACATTTCTTAAGCCCTTCCCTGAATACTACCCTTCTGGGTGCCCGCAGTACGAACACTGAGCGGCGCTAATCAGATATTATGAAGCAGACGGCAATTGTATAACACCGCCGTTCTCTACAAGTCACAACCTTGATGAGACGCACATATATTTTCCCTGAATCAGACCCTTCTCTTTCTCAGGCTTTGAAACTTGGACCCGCCCATGGCAGAACCGACCAAAGTGGTGATTGTTGGCGCGGGTAAGGCTATCATAAACGCTGGTTACTTCTAACATCCGAATAGGATGGAATGGGTTGATGGTGGCGAAGACGTACCTGAAAATTAACCCAGCTATTTCGCTTACAATTCTCGAGGCGGAAAGAACGCTCGGTGGAACATGGTCCGGTGACCGTGTCTACCCAGAATTCCACACACAAGTCCCCTATGGTCGCTACGAGTCATGTGACTTTCCAACACGCCCGCCAGCTGCGCCGCGTGCAGGTGGAACTTCATTCCGTCCTTCGTGTCCACGAATACCTCGTAAGTTTGCGCAGCAGCGATTCAATATTGCAGACAAGATAACCTACAATACTTCAGTCGAGCATATACAACGTCATGAAGATGGGAAGGGATGGAAACTCGACATCTGGAGAGAGAACGGTGAGCGAGAGGTTATCATCTGCGATAAACTCGTCGTCGCAACTGGTGTCCACTCGCTACCAAATGTCCCAGATATTCCGACTTCAACGGAAGAGCCCTTTGTTCCCTTGTCGTTTCACTCTCGTTACGTCGGCCGGCACTACGACGATATCCGTTCGCCGTCTGTGAACGTTGTCACTATCTATGGCGGAGGAAAGTCTGCATATGACGCTGCTCAGGCAGCATTGAACGCAGGGAAACATGTTCACTGGGTAATACGTACAAGTGGATCAGGAGCAGGCGCACTTGCCTTGCCTGAAATTAATGGCAAGCCAGCCACCGACATGCTCTTCACACCCGCGATGGAGTTCAACAATCCGCATCCGATGAGAAACACTTGGTGGGATTGGTTTTTCCATAGTGGCGGTAGTAGGATTGGATATTGGCTTCATTGGGCTGTAGCTGGCTTGGCGAGTCGAATGATGCTCAGCAAGTGGAGATACGACGAAGGAGTTATGAAGAATCTTAAGCCACCGTTTGTGGATCGCATGTGAGTCATTGCTTCAAAGTGAGGTGACCAATTATGATAAACGACGCGCGATACTTCTGGCACAATTCTTCCGTTCTCGCATTACCAGGACCCGAACTAATAGATAAAGTCCGGAACGAGGATGGAATCACGATTCACCGCGCAGATATTACTCGACTGTCCGGGCGCACCATACACCTGGCAAATGGCACAACACTCGAGACGGATATTTTGATCTACGCCACTGGGTACAACATTCATCATACCACATTCTCGGAACGTGACTCTTGGGAGTTGGGACTTCCAGTCAGAATTGACCGCATACCCGTGATTGCGCCTGGAACATCATGGCCTACAGAATCCATGGAACGGGCCGACCAAGAGGTTCTACAACGCTTCCCTCGGCTTCGAAATCCACCTGTGAAGTCCAAGAAACCGACATGGACGCAGTATAGAATGTACAGATACATTCTTCCCTTTGAGCTACTTAGGAGGCGTGACAGATCCCTCGCTTTCGTTGGCTACATGGGAGGAGGAACGATTATCGGCGCGGATGTCAGTGCGTTATGGGCTGTTGCGTGGATGGAAGGAAAGTTGGAGATCACGAGGGACCTTGAGGAGATGATCAAGGAGTCCGAAGTTCTCAATGCCTTCTTGAAGCGTCGATACATCAATGCGAGTCAAGAGGCTCCATACTTGCCTTTCGACGGCACGGTGGTACGTTCGGTTCTCGTTTGAGTATTCAGAACCTAACCATATCTAGATTATTCGCGAAATGATGAAGGAACTTGACGTTCCCCACCCAAATCTGGGCGCTTGGACACCGCATTTCCCTTCTGCATATAGGGGTATAGTAGAGACTTGGCTAGCTAAGAATACCTAAGGCGCTCCATGTGTACATTATCTAGTGGTCAACGAGACTTGAACTTGACCGCATTGCCAAGCTGATGAAATATGATTGGACACTTTATCATCTGTTAAAGGATATCTTTTTCAGTGATTTAGTAGAAAAACCACCATCCTTTGTCCACTGGAGGATCGACTCTTCAACATTGCTCAGACAATTCTACAACGCCACCGGTTTGGGGATAATTAGTGATGCGTCTTCATAGAGAATCGTACAGATATAAGACTGGATGAGAATGTTTGTGTAATTCAGTCCATCTTGTTCACATCCATGACGGAGGAGACTCGTCCTCGTGTTGTCATTGTTGGAGCTGGTCAGTATTCTCTTCAGTATGTTATAATCATCATCTGACTCTTTCTCTTTGCAAACAGGTTGGAGCGGCATCACACTCGCGAAAACGTCAGTATTCATATATGCACGGATAGCGCATTCTAACACGGCCAAGGTACCTGCAGCTAGATTCCGAAACCCCAATCACGCTTCTGGAAGCGGAGAGAACGCTTGGAGGAGTATGGTCCGCTGATAGAGCTTACCCAGAGCTCCAGACCCAGGTACCTTATGGACGCTACGAGTCTTGGGATCTACCCATGTCTCGTACAGACGGCGTCAAACCTGAGCGAGCAGACTTTATCCCGTCATGCCGAATGCACGACTACCTTGTGGAGCTGGCACAAAAATTCAACGTCATGGACAAAATTCGGTTCAATATCTCTGTCACTCATATTGAGAGACATGAGAATGGCGTTCAATGGAAACTTCGCGTCACAGATACCTCCAAGGGAGCTGAAGAGGAGATTATCTGCGACAAACTGGTCATCGCCACGGGCGTACATTCGTTGCATAAGATTCCAGATATACCATCTGAGAATTTCACACCTCTCACGATTCACTCGCGGTTCGTTGGACAACATTATCACGACCTGCATTCCCCAGACATCGAGGTGGTGACGGTATATGGCGGCGGCAAGTCTGCATACGACGTGGTTCAAGCTGCATCGAATGCAGAAAAAGATGTACATTGGGTGATACGAACCAGTGGAGCCGGTGTTGGTGCCATTGTCGGGCCAGAGTTTCTGGGACAATCGACCGTCGACAGCCTGTTCACTCCTGCGATGGATTATCTGAATCCGCACCCGTTGCGTGCTTCTTGGTGGGACCGGTTCCTCCACAGTGGGAGGAACCGGTTTGGATATTGGCTCCATTGGGGTATAACAGGTCTTTTCAGCAATATCTTTACCAATTTGTGGAGGTATGACGAGAATGAGAGGCTCAGAAGTCTCAAACCTCCATTTCTGGATCGCATGTACGTTGCACCTTCCCCGCTGGAGTAGTTGTTGATGGTAATGCCTAGTATATATTGGCAGAATGCACCATTGCTCGCCGTATCAGGCCCAGAATTGATCAAAAAGATACGTGCAGGAGACGGTATCAGTATTCATCGGGCGGAAATCGTCAAACTCTCCGGGCGGACCATCCATCTCCACGATGGTTCGTCATTGCAGACCGATGCCCTGGTCTACGCCACAGGCTACAGCATTCACCATCCCATATTCTCACAAAAGGATTCATTCGAACTCGGTTTACCTGTTCGCATTTCTCAAATACCCACCATCGCGCCCGATGCCTCGTGGCCGACGCAGGATATGCTTGATGCGGACAAAGAGGTCCTCGAGCGGTTCCCTCGTCTACGTGATCCACCTATCCAGCCCAAGAGTCCAGAATGGACACAGTACTGGCTCTATCGCTTCATTGTCCCATTTCCACTACTTCAGAGGAATGATCGGTCATTAGCCTTTGTTGGGTATTTGGGCGGGGGAACTCTCAGCCTCGTGGCGGATGTGAGTGCCCTTTGGGCCGTTGCTTGGCTGAGTGGACGACTGGAGATCAAGAGGCCGTATGAGGAGATGGTTCAGGAATGCGACTTGCTCAATGCGTTTCTCAAGAGGCGTTGTATCAACGCAAGCCAAGCGGTTCCATATATGCCGTTTGAAGGGCTCACGGTATGTATATCGGTACGTAATTCGTAGCTGGCTAACGTTGGAAGCAGCTTATGAAACAGATGCTGGACGAGCTCGGTCTTGAGCCGCCAAACTTGGGGGTGTGGAGACCGCACTTTCCAAAGGCGTACAAGGGGATTACGGAGACGTGGTTGGCAAAGAATGCCGAGTATACCCAGAGACAATAGGTCACCCGTCGCTTGGTTGTAGTCACCATAACTCTTGTAAAATAGTGAAATGCTGAATAAACATGGCTAGACCCCCAGTTTTGCGTTTGTGGCCGGTCGCCCCCGTGTCGCTTGCTTGGCCTCGCCGGTGTCAGGCCATTTGCCCAACTCTTGACCTTCTCCTCGACCGCCCTTTTCTTCCCACTCTTTTCTCTCGTATGTTTTCTTTTTCAGCAACAACTTGTGCATTTCCTGACTCTTCCTTTTCTCCCGGCTCGCTTTTTTGGTGTCTCGCTGCCGCGGTGCTGTCTCGGGCTCAGTGGCCGTTGGGTATACTGCCGTCGAACAGTGCGACGAGCACATTCGAGACGATTTCAGTAAGCATAAACACCCTTTCCGTCCCCATGAAACGCAATCCCTGACGAATCCCGATTCAGTCTCGGTCCACAACACGAAAATCGACGATTAATCTCCTCCGACGACCGGCATCTGCAATCCCAAGCAATATCGTCATACGTTCCAAGTTACTCTCCCCTCAAATCCAGTTTCATTATGTTCGGAAGGCGGTTACGTTCCGTATGTCCGCACCTCTCGCAGTTATGATTCCTAACAGCCGGTCAAAACAGGTTTTGTTTGCATTCCTATGTGTGTCGCCAGTGCTCGCTTTACCCGAATGGACGCCTCCGCTCAGCACGCGTGGCCGTTATGTCGTCGACGCGACGGGCGCACGCTTCAAACTCCATTCCGGCAACTGGCACGGTGCATCTGGGACTTGGACCGGAGTTGGTGACCAAAACAACGATGACAATTCACACTATAACGAAAACTCGCACAATCTGCCGCTTGGCCTACAGTACATGCCCATCGACACCATTCTCGACGCTTTCGAATCACTCGGTATCAATTCCATTCGCCTGCCGTTTAGCAACCAGATGATCCATGACCCGACGCCCATCCTGGATTACTGGGTTGCAGCCAACCCGCAGCTCAGGGGCATGACGCCTCTCCAAGTCTACGTAGAGTGCGTCAAAGCGCTTACTTCCAGGGGTTTTGCGGTTATCCTGAATAACCATACGAATAAGAATCGATGGTGCTGCGGTGTAGGTGATGGAAACGAACGGTGGAATGAGAGTCAGACGACGCAACAGTGGGCAGACGATTGGGTGATGATGGTCAAGCTCTTCAAGGACAATCCGCGCGTTGTCGGTGCCGACTTGTACAACGAAGTCCGACGAGACGTCCTCATTGATCCAAACTGGGGTTGGGTGGTCCAGTGGACTGGCCGCATCACAATGGGCAGGCGATCGAATTCTCACAGAAGCGAATCCGGATATTCTCATCATTTATCGAAGGCATCAACTGGGTCGGCCTTCCTGTTGATGGTCTTCCACATGGACGACCGACGCTTAGCGGCGCAGCCACCATCAGCCATACGCTCGTTCAGTCGGACAAGTTGGTGTATGCGGCACATTTCTATTCGTATACAGGACCCAACCACAGCGGCGCGTTCGGGATAGGAGAGACCCATGATCCACGCTATCGAGATCTCAATCTGCAGCAGTTGAGGGATGTCGTAGAGTCGTCAGCGACATTTGTCGTCAACCAGCCGGACAAGCACTTTACACGGCCTCTTTGGGTGCGTTCTCCATGCTCCTTTACTCGTTTCCTTACGCCTTTGTAGATCAGTGAGTTTGGTATTCCAGGACGCGGAATCATATCCGATGCGGACAGAAACTGGTTCGACAACTTCCTCTCCATTCTCAAGACCAACGACCTCGACTACGCCTTCTGGCCACTGATCGGTTATCTACGCAACGGACAAGGCAACGGTTGGGCGTTGATCAACTACGACCTCTCGAACAACCGCCAGGATTCGCTTAATGACGGCAATGACTGGCGGCGTGATCGATGGTACGACCTTGTCAACGCCACGACACTCAAAGAAGTGTCAACAACTCGACCAATTGGCGGATGATCAACGTTGACCGCGGTGACTACATAAAAGTAGCACTATTGTCAACAAAAAATGGGACTGGGATAGCGGCGCACGAAAGGCGTGTACGGACAACTTGCGGCTGATTGGCCTCCAGCCGAAGTCTGCATCGTGGGCTCTGTGCAGATGCAGTCTATGGTTCCCAGCTGTGGAACTCTGCGAGAGACACCGTCGTCGTGACCAACGAGCAATACGTTAGCACGGACTGGGCCTCACGATATACAAAACTTCAATGCCCACCTGATCACTTTGTGATTGGATACAATTTCCGCGGCTCCAGGCCAAGTTCTGTTGTCTGTGCAAAGTCGGACAGGCAAGGTGGGCTAGGAGGCGGGGACGAACAATGTGGTTCGATCGTGGTGACTCGCGAGAGAAGTGGTGGTGGCGGCGACTTTGCGGTCCAGGATTACAAGGGCAGTGTGCCGACGACGAGTACATTGCTGGTATCGCGTATACAAACCGCGTGGACGGGGGCGCACCCGCAGCGTTGTATTGTCGGTCGTAAGTCATTGAATTTCTTTTGTTTGATCCATCACCCTCCCTGCTACTCCTACCTTGTCCCATAAACATTCCATCTCCATTTGGGCCAAATGCCCACCACGCTCTTTCATATCATTCACGGTCTCTCCTGCATTCACGATACGCAATTTCTACGACTCGACGATCTTTTCTCTGGGCTCATAATCACGCCTGTCCTTCACTCTGTTGTTTATACCGCTCGAGCCATGCTCGAATGACGTCTACAAGTAGTGTTTGATGCAATTGCTTGGTTCCCATCGCTTGCGATCCGAAACCCTCCTGTTCCTTCCCGTTGATTAGAATCCGCTGATTCATCCACGTCTTCCCTTCCCCTCTATTCAAATGTCAAACTGCAAGGAACAAGCTAACGCGGTAACCCCACGCAGGTCCTTCCACTCGGCGTCGTCGGCCCTTCGCAGCTCCGGATCACCGGCGCCGGTTCAGCTCTTTGGCGTAGTGCTCGGCGTGATTTGGCTGCGGTGGTTCTTGGTCATCTAGGTGGTTGCGGGGATGCATTGTGGTAGGAAACTGCTGGGTTCTTCCTCGCCTTCCATCCGGATGCGCGCATCCCGTAATGGGCGCGTGTATTTCATCGACAAAATCAACATCACGTCCTTTTTGCTTCTTCAATGTCACCACCTTCAGTATCACTATGGACACCCATACCTTTCAAATCAATCACTCTCACGATAACTTATCTTCCTTTTCACTCAGATCCTACGAGTTGGTTAATCATCCTGGCTTTCTCCTGCAATTCTTTCTCTTCACACCTCATTCATCTTTTCCTTCGCGCAAGTGCTGTCGCGTTGGATTCCCTCCCCTTTATTTCAATATTGCGCTCAATCTCCGGCTCTCACTCACATCTATCCAACTCGAACCGCATCTATCCAACTCCACTCGCATCTCTCTTCAATCCAACGCATCTCCGCTTGGCGTCAACTCTTTCTCACCTTCACTCTATGGCGATTCCTCTCCTCATGACGGATCCTGCTCACGACGATCTTACGGCTTGTACATTTTGGTTGCTCTCTAAATAGATCTGTTTCCCCACCAACTGGGTCCTCATGAGTGTACAGCGAGCCATTTCTCCACGATTCCGCGGTAAAAGATGGGGTATCTAGGTGTCAAGGCACCCGCTTCGGGTAGCGATACCTCGAGCTCTTCCAGCATATAATTAAGAATCTACTCTTGCATTAGCTCCGATTTTTAGTGAAAACGGAACGTGACTCACCGTCATCCACTCGAATGGGAGGTATGGGATCTCTCGACCGGCATTGAGATACCTTCGTTTGATGAACGCATTGAGGAGGTCACATTCCTTTTCCATCTCATCCATATCTCTCTCGATGTCTAGTTTGCCCGTCATCCATGCCACAGCCCACAATGCGCTGACATCGCCTATGATGCAAATTGCTGCTCCTTGCAGGTAACCGACAAAGGTGAGAGATCTATCCCTCTTCTTCATCAAAGGAAAGGGGAGAATAGAACGGTAAAGACGGTATTGCGTATAGGTTGGTTTCTTTGGCTCGACCGGTGGGTTTGAGAGGCGAGGGAATTTGGCCAAGACCTCTTTATCTGCCTCTTCCATGGCTTGTGTCGGCCACTGTGCGTCGTGGTTCCCAGTAAGTGAAGGGATATGGGAAATCTGGACAGGGAGCCCAAGTTCGTAGGCGTCTTGTTCTGAAAAGATGGGTTGATGGATGCTATATCCAGTGGCATAGATAAGCATGTCCGTGGTCAATGTCGTTTGATCTGCAAGGTGAACATGTCTCCCCGATAATTTTGTAATGTCCGCCCGGTAAATCGTGATACCGTCGCCGCGTCTGACTTTATCCAGGATATCCATCGTTGGAACCGCGAGTAAGAGACCATTGTGCCAGTACATGCTGCAAAAACGTCAGTGGAGGATTGCGAGGAAGAAGCATAACACCCACACGCGGTCCACGACGTCCGGTTTGAGCTTTCTCATTGCATCGTTCGTCGTAACCATCTTTCCAGTGACGACTCTGCTCATGAGCCCAGAAATCGTCAATGCAGCCAATATCAAACCAGTTCTTGCCGCTGTGGAAGAACCTGTCCCACGTGTCCCGAAGCGGATGAGGATAGTTGTAGTCCATCGCAGGCGTAAAGATGATGTCGCTGATCGAACTGCCGCCAAACTCTGGAGTGTATTGCACCCATACCGGCACCGCTCGTCCGGATTACCCATTGTACTGTTTCCCCCTTTAGCCGCGTGCACAGCATCATATGCAGACTTTCCTCCGCCATACACGGTGACTACCTTGATCTCTGGTGAGCGCATTTCCTCATAGCGCGCTCCAAGGAATCGTGAGTGAAATGTTGGAGGCTCAAAGCTCTCTGAAGGAATATCTGGAATGGTAGGAAGGGAAGTAAGACCCGTCGAGATGACCAACTTGTCGCAAACGATCGTCTCTTGTTCCCCTCTCTCGTTGAGCACGGTAAGGGTCCAGCGTACTCCATCTTCATGACGCTGCACGTGTTTCACAGAGACGTTGTACCGAATCTTGTTGGCGATATTAAACTTGGTGGCAAACTCCTGCAAGTATTCGTGGACACGGTTCGACGGAATGAAATCGGCTGGCTCGCGTTTTGCGTTTGGTGGTCGCGTCATTGATAAGTCGCAAGACTCGTACGCTCCATAAGGTGCTTGAGTATGCAGTTCCGGGTACACACGGTCGGCCGACCACGTCCCGCCCAAAGACCTCTCGGCCTCGAGGACGGTGAGCGAGATGGTGGGATCAACCTGCAAATATCTGCCCAATGTAAATACCTTTACGCTAATCTGTTTGTAAGAGACAAAAGACTGACGTTTTCGCCACGGTCAGCCGTTCCATCCTAAATCCGAGAGACGTGTTCATTCAGAAGTATGACGTGGAATAACTTATTTGCTGACCTGCACCAATGACAACTTTGTTACTGGACATGGTAGGGACCAAATTTGTGCTCGAGCTCTGAAATGAGACCGCGCTTATTCGCAGCAAGGGTCGCCAAGGCCCGCAGTCAGAAGTCCAATTCAAATTGCCATGGCGCTCCTTAGCAATGCAAATAGATAGGGTCAAGGCCAGCAAAGCTTACGTACATCCATCTGGGGAGATTTTGAGTACTGTCAATCTCATTCCTCTGCCACCCATAGGTCGCTTTTCATCTCCTCGTCCTCTTCACGTTGAACGATGGTTTTTCCCAAAAGATCTGGGGCAGACCACCTCCGGCGAATCTTAAAGGAAAGAAACGACTCGCTCGCCGGTTTATGATCTGCATCACTTTAGCGCCATCTTAGATTGAACGAGTAGGAGCACTCACGACTACAGTTACAGTACGCATCCCAGGCTCGAGCGGCACCCTCGCGGCGCACGCTTCCACCAAGGGTTGGCGGTACGTCTCAAAGTATTGTGGGGAATGATACTTCCACGATGAGCTTACCCAGCTTTGGACCGCGTTCGATATAGCTAATGAACTCAGGCATGAGCAGCTTTCGCGACTCGTACGTCCACACGCGCAGCTCGTCCAGTTTCATTGGGAAATCAAAGGCGAGTTATTGAAAACTTCGGGGGTGATGAACCTTGGTAAGTGTTCCAAGGCAAGAGCCATTGTGGACCAAGTGAGTCGAAAAGTGGACAGTATATGAGTGCGAGGAATGTGATGTTTCCTCGTCGTAACAATTCCGTTGGGGATCTTGTCTCTCTGTGATGCTAAAAGTCCCCAACGTCTTTGGATTTGGGCATGCGAGAAAATAACAGTCAGGAGGCCAAACATGTTGCTCATCCCAATTGTATCTCCTCGAGATAGGGCAAGGGGAGAGTATATGGACTAAGAGGGGTCAAATGGTTGAGGAAGGGTGATCCGACGAGGTAGAGACATCGGAGATGGCGAAGTGCGGTGATTTGGCTGGGCAACTCCTTTGGGTAGTTGATATTCCCAAAGAGGAGAGAAAAGTGAGTCCGTGAAAGCGCGAAATGTCGACGGTAATGTAATGTATACCCTGGGCCTATTCGATCCAAAGCAGCCTGAGTTTGGCAAGAAGTTGGTATTCCAGACAAAGTCGCAGTAGAGTTCGTCGAATTTCGCAGCAGTGCGATCACACGGAGGAAGAAGGCACTCACAAACGGCGCACAGTCCGCCGTGAAGCGGTTGGGAGAATGAGCGTCTTGACGAGGCTCTTTAAATCTCTCTTAGAGGCCCTCTGTGAGTCACTTTGGGTGAGTGCATGATATAGCTTTTGGGTTTGATAGAATGTATATGTGCAAACGGTCGTATAGAGTGCGGCAGTAGCCGGTCCACGCCATTGCGTACAGACCAGTGGAATGGTGGAAAGTAGGTGTTCTCAATAGACATTCGAGGCCAGTCGTTGTTCATGTACTCCTCGGAAGATTGTAGAAAGACGATAAGAAGGATTTCAGGTGGGAGGAGCGCCGCCTTCGACGTGTTTTCGCGCTGATAAACAGTAAGTTTAACATCTATGGTTCAATGTAAAGGGTTGAAGATGGTAAAGCACGCACCCGACAGGATAGACTCATTCTGCGCGGCCTTGATAGGTAAGCCGAGGTTGTATTTTGATACCACGGCGGTGTACCGACGGACTGAGAAGAGAAGTTTAACGCGGCTCATTATGAAGAGTCGTTGATAGGTCAGGCACTTTGGCCAAGGAAGACGGAGCGAACTTAAGATGGCATCAAGCGCCCAAGCTGTTTACAGGTCCTGTTGCTGTACTGATATCGGTCAACAGTATAGTTCAGTTCTAGATACATGTATGATCAAAGACGGCCAAGAAGAAGTCATTTACTGGATGATGATCTCTACATCCCTTTGATGCTTAGCCTTCATTGCAGACCGAAACTTCTTTAGCACAGTATCGCTGACTCTACAGTCCACTATCGTCAGCCTCGTCAAACGACTCAACGGGATATCGTCCGTCGGGGTAAACTCAGACAACCTCTGAGCCGGTAGCCGAAATTGTCAGCGATTCAATCTCCTTAAATGCTTGTAGGGCAAGTATCGCGATGTTGATGTCCTCCGCGATTAATGCTGTCCCCTGAAGTACTAGCCGTGATGGTCAGCTCGCGTATGCCAGGCGCATGTTCCTTTGTGATACTCCACGCTCCGATATCAAATGGATGCTGGATGAAGAGTTTGAGGATCTTAATTTGGGCATGCGAACGACGTCTTGAAGGGTGACATATTCGCGAATCGGACATTCGAGGTTTTGAGAGAAGGGACGGTCGTATGCGTTGTTCCGTGCGACTTTAGAATCGAAGTGTTGATTATATACAAACTCTCCACTTTATCTGCTGCGGAGAGACAAGTTTGCATATCCTCCTTCGCCAATTGGAATTGGTCACCATGAGTGTCCGTAGGTTTGACACCGTTCGCTGTAGAAGAGATCTTGGAAGGAAGTTGTGGGAGATTGCGAGGCTTACTCCAACGCCTTGGAGAATCTCCGTTTCTTCGAGTACCTCGTAGGGGACCTGAGACCGGATTCCGCTCCGTATAGAGTATGGATGAGGATGAACCGTCAATCATGCCGAGTAACTGGAGCAAGCTCACGCAGGAATGTGTCATGCTCGGTCACGAAGTAGGCTGAACATTGTCAATCACTTCAAACGCTTCGTATCGCTTGAACGTGAGTTGCAGAAAGTCCAACAGATGAAACCGAAAGCAAGCTTTGCCTTTGTCAGGGTATAAAAGGCATTATCGTACGTGTAAGCACGTGGAAGCAGGTTTCCTAATCGTGCAGCGCAGTGGCGTGCGGTCCTTTGGTGCGAGGCTGATATAGTCATGGTGTGGGATCGCGATAGGCTGCCATATGGCTGGATAACTCTCTACGATATCCCGCCAGAATTGACAGACCGAGCCGAGTTTGAACGCAGTAAGGGTGGCTTCCCTCGCCTGTACCCTCGTTCAAGCGATGCTTCTTCTTGCTCCATATTCACCAGGAAAATCTGTCGCCATATCTCGACAGGAATTCGTCGTCATTATCGTAGGATATCCTGCTTTCTCTCCATATCCCTGGTATATTGGGACAAGAGAGAAGAAAGTCGTTCGGTGCAGGCAGCGAGCGTGGATAGGTACGTACGCTCAGCGATGAGAACGTGTTCGCACTCTGGTATTTTCTTCTCAGCACCAGCAACTCGGCTTCCAACTCGTGAAGAAGCTGGGTGGAAGTTGCTGCTTGACGGCACTACCGCACTCGATCACCTCGTTGAAGATTTCCGATGCTTCATCGTAAGGAGCATCAGTACTTGTGCTCGCTGTGATGGCGTCGAGGGAGCAAGCTTTCGCCTCGCGACGACGGCGCATTTATCCTGAGAATGCACGCTTCTCAGACTAGTCGCTACTTGCACCGCATCTGAGTATCTTTTCATCACCTTTTGTCTCCTCTCTGTCAATAACGAGGCGCTCAGTTCATTTTCAGGAGCGCGTCGTGCGTTCGTCTTGGGATATAAGATTCTGGATATAGTCGCGCTCCTTTGGTGTAGGAATGCGTATCTGGCTCCATCCCAGGATGGATAGACGTTCAAGGTCGCCGGATGGTGCAGGCATGCTGGCGTGGTTGACGTTGGCCACGTCGACGAGTAGTCCAGAGCAGAAGAACCCTTAGGAAGACAGTCAAGGGAACAGTGGCGCTGACCCCAGAACACCCGAGGTTGCTGGCTCTTCTGAG